AGGGAGGGAGGGAAGAAAGGAGGGAGGGAAGAAAGGAGGGAGGGAAGAAAGGAGGGAAGGAAGGAGGGAAGGAGGGAGGGAGGGAGAAAGGGAGGGAGGGAGGGAGGGAGGGAGGGAGGGAGGGAGGGAGGGAGGGAGGGAGGGAGGGAGAAAAAAGAAACAAACTTCAAACAAAAAGGGGAAGGGTCTTAGAATGAAATCCATCTAATGAAATTCATGGCAGCCTTCAGTGTGGTACCCCATGGAATTATGACCTATTGCTGCCACTGGCAAATGATTAACAAGGGCCAACCCTATGTTAAAAGTCACCTTTAGCTGGACAGTGGTGGTGCACGCCTTTAATCCCAGCACTTGGGAGGCAGAAGCAGGCGGATTTCTGAGTTTGAGGCCAGCCTGGTCTACAGAGTGAGTTCCAGAACAGCCTGGGCCATGCCTTTGATCCCAGCACTCAGGAGGCAGAGGCAGACAGATTTCTGAATTTGAGGCCAGTCTGATCTACAGAGTGAGTTCTAGGAAAGCCAGGCAACACAGAGAAACCCTATCTTGGAAAAAAAAGTTACCTTGCAGGAAGGAAGTATTAGAATAAAGAACAATGCCCGAGGAAATGAACCAGACACACGGAAGATTTTAGTGACATTCTGAAAAGCGCATCTTAACACTCCTACTGATGTGTTCTCAGTAAGTGGCCACAGAGCGAGCAGCACCATGGCTTTACGTGTCTAGTACATATCAGGCTGCCAATGAAATCCAATGACCAGGCAGTGGCTGTCCTGGAAGCAGGCCTGGTAGAGCAGCTACGGCTGAGGAGGAGTAGCGTGCTTACTTATGACAGGAAACCCCTCAGGAACAAGCACTGTTTTCAGAAATTGCAAGACTAGATCAGGAGGTATTTTGTAATTTTAACAGTTTTGAATCCCACAGTTTGAGAGGAGAGAGAGAGAGAGAGAGAGAGAGAGAGAGAGAGAGAGAGAGAGAAACCCAAGTTTCATGAGAGAAATTTTTACCCAAACAAAATCCTGAGACAGGGCTGGAGAGATGGCTCAGTGGTTAAGAGCACTGATTGCTCTTCCAGAGGTCCTGAGTTCAATTCCCAGCAACCACATGGTGGCTTATAATGGGATCTGATGCCCTCATCTGGTATGTCTTAAGACAGCTACAATGTACTCATACAGATAAAATAAATAAATAAAATCTTTTTAAAAAATTCTGAAATAACAGAAGGGTCTTAATGCCAACACTCTCCCCTTCTGAACAAGCCTTGTTATTGTGTGTTTGCCAATTAAAATCTGTAAGATACAGAATTTTTAAAGCCTGGCTATCAAACGCTTCCACTTAGTTGGATGAAGAGGATCGGATCGGATTGGCACCCAGAGAAACCACACACGTGTAATGATGTCATGCAGTTCTCAGGCAGAAGCTACCGTCTGCAGTTCAGTTTTCAAGCTTAATCCCTAAGGTGGTTGCTTTTAATTAACCAAGCAAAGCATGAGCTGTATGGTTCTACCCATGCTCACACATCCATGGAGCCCAGAAACCTGCACTGGATTCTAGAAACGAGATCAAAGGGATATAGACAGGATTCAAAACCTTGAGGGTGGAAGCAATAGCCTTCTTGGAGAACTCCAACTTGGAAGACTTCGCGTAAGCAAGAGCTAGTCCATGAAGTACAAGGGTGGGTATTCCAGGCAGAGGAAGTATGCTGGGGAAAGGTAAAGAGGTGTGACACTGGGTGGAACAAATTGGAAATGGAGAACTTTGGTAGGAAAGATCAAGGTAGAAAAACAACCTGAAGTTAATACATGACGTCTACTTGATACACAAGTGGGAACCAATCAGACTCTAGCTAAGGAGACGGCTGGTTCGATTTTCATGTTAGGTAAAGCATCTGGTTGGAGGACATTCCAGAGGTCAAAGGGCAGCTAAGCAAGGAGCACAGGTCATAACAGAAAGCTGTCTCCTGCAAGATGCTTCTTTTTAAATGTGCTATTGGATGGAAGTATAGACAGACATAGAAATGGAGTACTTATTTTTTAAGAACATGTTTAAGGAAGAAAAGACACAGAAAAAGAAAAGGATCCCCATGACTTTGTACTAATTCCCTATTGTCTCTAAGCAGGCCAATTCCAAACTGCAAATAGCCGATTTCTGCTATATGGAATTTTGACTGAAGCGTATCATTGTGTACAGACAGACATTTGTATTGATGATGCCTTAATATTTTAGACACTTGTTTCTCAGTGGTGGTGTAAACCACTACTCGTAGAACATTGTAGGCTGGTTTTCAAGGTCCTGGTATGACCTGGGATAATTCACTCTTAGGTGTGGTGGGGCAACGGACATAAAGGTGCTGCTAGGTTTCAATTATGTATCAGTGTGCTCATATTAACTTACATCACTGACGTATGCAAACACTCATTGCTGCCAGTCTGAAAACTTGTGGACCTCATCCCTACATTTCTTCTACCACCTCAAATAATTCTAACATTGAAAAGATACACTACAACTATTCAATCCACTCAACCATTTATTTTACATCAGATTTTATTACAGTGAAATACAATCTCCATTTTACAAAACCCGGATGCTTTGAGTGGTTGGTTTCTGATAAGCAGGCTATATTGATCAGTTCAACAATGTGTACTTCATAGGAATGGCCACACTCTTAAAGTTAACCGATTTATCAGGGGGTAGGAAGGGCTGACAAAAGCCTACATACATTGCTAGTCTTGACAGTACACCACAAATAGGAAGATCCAAATACGAGCAATGACTAGCCTTAGCAAGAAACAATGCACATGCATAGTGTTTTGGTTATGAAGGAAAGCTGAAGTCCTCTTAAACAGTATTTATGATTTATGTGTGTGTGTGTGTGTATACACATATATATGCATGCTCATATTCTACATGAATATGCAAGTGTTTTCATTTTGAAAAAAAGATCTAGTATTAGAATCAATTTTTCAAAAGAAGTTAGTCTTAACTAACTGGAGGAATCACCACAGGCTTTATTTAAACTGTTTATATTCAAAAGTTCAGTTTTTAGATTAATGTGTGAGGATATATACATATGTGTGTATATATATATATATATATATATATATATATATATATATATATATATATATATATATAAATTTGTGGATGTATAATCTAAGCTTAACAAATAGTTAACATTATTTTCCAAGACACTTATGTCATTGGACCGTTTTTAATCTTAGTCGTTTTTACATAAAAATATGGGTGTCGTCCCCTCGCACGGTGTGCACGTTACCACCAGAAAGATAAACCTTACTAATGGGATTGGAAATGGTATCCCTACACTATGCTGAAGTAAGTCACTACTGAAAACATCAAATAATAAGCTGGGAGTGGTGGTGCACACTTTTAATCCCAGCACTGGAGGCAGAGGCAGAGGCAGAGGCAGAGGCAGACAGATCTCTGTAAATTCAGGGTCAACCTGGTCTACATGGAGTTCCAGGATATCCAGGGCTACAGTGAGAGATTCCAATGACAAATTTAGGAGGCAGAGAGATGGCTCAGGAGTGAGGAGTGCTTGCTGCCCTTGCAGAGGATCTAGGTTTAGTCTCCAGCACCCATACGGCAGCTAGTCACAACCCTGTCACTACAGTTTCAAGGGGGATTTGACACTTTCTTTGGCTTTCCAGGGCACCAGGCATGCATGTGGGGCATGCACAAGTGCGCGTACGCACGCACAAACACACACACACACGCGCGTGTGTGTATGTACATGCATGTGTGTATATACATGCAAATATTCATACACATAAAATCTTTAAAATATTCAATTATAAGAACAATTTAGACCGGGCAGTGGTGGCGCACGCCTTTAATCCCAGCACTTGGGAGGCAGAGGCAGGTGGATTTCTGATTTTGAGGCCAGCCTGGTCTACAGAGTGAGTTCCAGGACAGCCAGGAATACACAGAGAAACCCTGTCTCAAAAAACAAAAACAAACAAACAAACAAAAAGAACAATTTACGTGGTCCTGCCCCAGTTGTCAGCGATTCACTAAAACCAGTGTTGTTTCCTAGTTCTGCTCCTCTTTTGTGTCTGCTCCTCTGTAATATTCTCTTCAGTCATGATTCATAACAACTGGTTTGGAACCCCAAAAAGGTGAACCCTTTTTTCCTACCCTCCCCTGTAGATAGCTACAGACCTTCTAAAAGCAAGGAGACTGGAAGAAATACCTGTGTGTACCTTTTAACTGACCTGTGTGCAAATCTACATGCAATTACTTTGCTTTTTTGAAATGTGACTATTTTAAGCTTCCTATCCTTCTGCATTCCAAGTTGTGGATTATTTGATAGCTAAGAATTTTATTTTTAAAGGCCTATATCCTTAACTAGCCCATACTATTATCTTTCTTTTTATAATGAATTTGAATTAGAGTGGCAAAGACCTGGAACAATCAGTCAAGCATGAAATTTGTCTTAGCAGGGCATGTTGCTAATGTAACCAGTTTGTTTTCAGTTAAAATCATACTCCAAAAACCAGGCATGGTGAAATGTCTGTAAATCATAGCACTGGAAGGCCGAGGCAGGAGGATTGCTACAAGTTTGAGGCCAGCTTGTCCTAGAGATACCCTATCTCAAAAACCAACACAACAAACACATTCCTGTTGACTTCATCCTAAGGTCCTTAAAGTTCAAAATAACCACTGAGCAACAATCCTGTCTTACAAAACAACAGAAAACCCTCAAGATTACTGGGAATTGAATCCAAGGCCTGTAACACGTTAGGGTAAGTGCTTTACCAATAACCTGTATCCCCAGCCCTGCCTTATTTTTTTTAATGTATTAATTAATGTATTTAGTTGTGAGTGTTCCCTCACATATGTATGTGTACTGTTGGTGTGACTGGTACCCAAGGAGGCCAGAAGAGGGCATGTGATCCATTGGAACTACAATTACAGGTGGTTGTTAAGCGGCATGGAGATGCTGGGAATTGAGCACGGGTCCTCTGCAAAAGCAGGGAGTGTTCTTAACTCCTTGAGCCCTGTCATTTAATTTCTATTAACATAAACCAAAATTTCCCTAGCAATACCTTTTCACTCTTTTCTAAAATGACGGGAAGACCCTAAGGGTGACTGATGTAGCCACAGTGTCTTACCTTTACCCCTAATGGCTCTACACACCTCTCTCAAGATCACCTGCTTCCATATCAATAGTCATTAAAATCAAAGACTACTCTACCATTTGAAACTCAGTGATTGAAATTCTCAGGAGAGAAGCCAAAGTCTGCATTTAGAAATTGAAACAAAACCCCTAAGCTTTCCAGGTGAACTCTATCCTAAACATTATGCAAAGCACCTTCCCAATGTCGGAATTCCAGTGGCCTGCCGTTCTAAGAAACAGTGATATCACTGGACGGTTATGTGGGCTAAGACTCAAGATCCATTATGAAGAAATGGCAGGAGGAGGCATCTTGGCTAGGCGGTATTTAGGAAGCACTCTAGCTCTTGGAAAGTCCACCCATTTTCCTTTTGGCTTCTCATCCTGACAGACGGGGAATGCAAATGTATGGTTAATGGGAGATTTCAAAACTACCTTTATTCTTAGCAGGTGGGCCATAAAAATCTGCTGATCTGGTTTTAACAAGACCATTATACCACTCATCCTCATGGCCTTGTTCACAAGCAGTTGTTTTGTGTAATCCAACCTCATCTCCGTCTTTATTCTGCTACAACTGTCCTTACACTGCAAAAAGCAATTGCTTTGGTAAGCAAAAATTACAATGATATTGTCATTTGGTGTGTAAGAAAGAGCAGAAGTAACCAGATTAAGAATTTCTTAAAAATACACCATAATGCAAATCAATTCACATCTATACAATCAGGGTATTCACAGTAAAGTGAAAGTAAACTATAACTCCTAATAGATATATAAATTCCAATTGCAACCCTACTCCTGCCACCTGCTAACATTTACGGTCATTCTCAACACTTTTTTTGTACTGATATTTGGGCAGGTGGGCGTGCATGTGTGTATAATGTGTGTGCACACGCATGTGTGCTTGTGCACATGAAATATGGAATCTATGAGTCTCACTTTCTGGATTTGTTCCAGTGCACATAGCAAATACTTCAGGCAACCTCCAGCTCTAGGAGGTCCCAGGCTGGCTTTGAACTCCTGGGTCCTGAGGCAGGAGGGTTGCCTCAAGTTCAAGGATAGTTTGGACTGTTAGCAGGCTAGCCTGCACTACATAGCAAGATCCTACCTGAGAAATGAGAGGAAGAGACCGGTCTCAGACTAGCAGCATACATCCTACTAACAAGCTCTACCTCCAGCATCAAGCCCATCCCTTTTGCCACAGTTCTGGGTGTATAAATCAGGTCTTCTGCCAATGTATCTCGCCTGTCTTTATGTAGAAAGCTGAACATCTTTTCACATGCTAAAACATCTGTGTGTTGCCCGCCCCTGTAGCATATTCAGTCCACACTGCTTCACCACAGAGAGATTTTCTAGTTTTATCATTTTAGGCTGATGTATTTCAGAAGAACTTAGAGCAAAGGTATTCTCCAAATAACCCAAGGCTTATCAGAAAATTCAGAATGCCATAGCACTTTATTCCCTAAGCTCTGAGAGGGAAATGAGGAGGAGAGGAAGCACCAGAGGGGGGGGACCACCAGCCCCCTGTGGGGGTGGTAGAAGCAGGGAGGACAGAATCCAAGGTAAACCCTGGTGATGGGACATTTGAAGCTAATTTAAGACACTGAAAGCAGTACAACTTGTGAAATAAACAAGGAGAGAGAGACAGACAGACAGACACACCAGTGAGAGACTCTTACTCAGAACCCTGCGGAAACTTATAAGCTTCCATTATCTGAGGCAGGGAAACAAGCAGTCCTCTGGCATGGGCACTTTTGGGCAAGTCTGGCCCATTTCTCAAAACTCCTTTGACGGACAAATCTAATGTACTTAGGCATGTTTTATAATGCTTTTAGTCATACATTAGGAAGTCCATTTACTCCAGCAAAATCCTGAATCTCCACACTGTGAAACAAGTGTAGCTAATGGCTAAGATGTCTATATAATGTAGCTTTAAAAATAAATGCAAAAATACCAGATATAAAAAACTCTTAAAAGTTGAATAGTAAAAATATGATTTATATTCACAATTTTTTTTTAAATTCTAAGACTTTAGATATTATTTACTAAAGGAATTACGATCTAACACACTTAAAACTGGGGCTGGAGAGCTGGCTCAGGCATTAAGAGCACTTGCTGCTCTTGCAGAGGACCCGGTTGGGTTATCAGCACCCACATGGAGGCTCACAGTGTCTGCAACCTCATTTCCAGAGGATCCTACAGCGTCTTCTGGCCTCTGTGGCACTGGGTGCACACACACACAAATATTGTACATATATATACACATATGTACACATAAACTAAAGATAACTCTTGGTGGGGGTAAGGCTTAGCTCTGTTGAATATTATACAGGGAGTGGACTGGAGATTCTTGCACAGTGCTGGAGGTATCCTGGCTTTACCGCCTCTGTAGCAAGCCTTCCTTCCCCTTAGGATAATGACATTGAGAAAATTTAACATCTAGACCACAACCCACTATCTTGTGTCCCAAAGGAGAGAATTCCTGAACTCTACTTTAGCTCGAAATCAACCTTGCCTTTCCTTTAGTGCTCGAGAACAAGGATAGCAGCCTGCAGCTTCATGTGGGCAAGAGGACAGTTAGAACTTCCGCATGGACCACACCAACAAAACGACTAAGCCACACACGGTGGTGTGAACCTGTGATGCCAGTTACCCAGCACTTGTGAGTCACTGGAAGGTGAGGCAGGAGCATCAGGGACTCAGATCAGCCTCCCCTAAGCTCCAGTGTGCTTCCAAAAGCTGCTAACCAAGGGTCTGGGACCAGCTCACTGTAAGTATGAACTCTCCTAATATGTCATATCGAAGGGTTAAAAGGAAGGAGCTAAATTCCTACACTTCTACTGCTGAAATGCTTTCCAACATATTTCTCCTTCACTTCACCGTCAGCTCTGAGGGCACAAGGAATGCCTTGCCATACAAACATCATAACACCTAACAGAACACAGACTTGCCACTAGGCTATAAAGGCTGATGAAATGACATCAAATCTGCGAGCTGCCAGTGGTATACGCAATATTACAGACTGCAAAGAATTCTCATCATGGGGTAATTGTTTTGGTTTGTTAAAACTATTCTGTAGTCCAGCATTCAGCCACTCCATAGGTTTTCCTGAATGTTAACCTTCTTTCTGCTACACTATAAACTCTAAAATTAAGGGTATCTCTCCATTTTTGTTATGTTAGAAGTATCTACAGATTTAGGGCACACACTATTAAATACATTACACATTAATTTACTCTCCAAGTAGCGAAACACTAATGGTGCAAAGGAGCCCCGGCGCTTTCCTGGCCTCCGCTTCAGACTGCTTACTGACAGTTACATCTGTGTGCTGCTAAACTTGAGAATCCATGCTTTATTTGAGAATTCAGAAGGTAGAACCAAAATATTGCTGCAGTTACAAATACGTCTCATAAAAACTAAATGAGGGAATTTCTACAGCAATTTCTCAAAGTTCCCAGTAAAAACTTAAGAGATAGGTAAATAAACCAGCCTTCATAGAAAAATTTACAAGTCTCATTCAAAAGCAGCTCTTAAAAGTAAATATAACACTGAAGCTGAAAATGTTATACCCACAAAAGTTGCCAGGTCTAATAAATTATTGACAGAACACTGCATCAAAAATAAGGCAATTACCCAAGATGTCATTAAAGATTTCTCCACTTCATAACTAGACAGAGCTGATCTATCTAGGAGCACCTGACATTTCATTCAGCTTCAGGATGTGTGAAATCCTTAAGGACAGAAACGATAAGATGTGATTGTCACTCTTTAGAATACTTGCAGGGAAATCATTTCTAAAGCACAGAGATGCAAAAAGGTTTAATCTTTCAAAAGATACTGTTTAAAACTCAAGAATGTGACAAAGCACACAATGGGCACTCGTGAACAAATGCAATACAGTGATAGCAAATTGATTTATTTAGTACTGTTTCCATTCCATGTCATCAGGAGGGTTGATTTCAACTTTCCTTTTACCTACATCAGACCAGTTGGTACTCAAGACTGTACCACCAGACTCCATCTGCAATTAAAAGAAAAAATAAACAAGGTTCATTCCTATATTTATATATCAAAATACAATATTTTTCTTAAAATGAATCAAACATACTCGCCCAAATATAGGCTACTGAAAATAAATCAATATGAACTCAACATTTTTAGTTAATCTTAGGCTTTCCAGAGAGGCTAACAAGTTTGAAGACAGCTGACAAAAGACAATTCTAGAGTTATTAGGTAGGCATATTATGTACACATACACTCCTATACTAAGGACCATGTATTCTGCTATTAGTAAAGGCATCATGTGGAAAGTTCACCTTCAAATGAAAATAAAATGCCTTCCCCCCAAAATGACATAATCTTATTTTGCTGAAGCCAGCAAAATCCCAGTTAAATCGAACGTTAAGGACCCACACTGAATGCTCCCTCTTTGCCAAACATACTCTAGTGTACTCTGAATTTAATTAAGGCACATACAACAGAGGTACATAAAGTCAACAACATGTGACTTGGTTATCTACTTATAATGCAATGAATATACAACCTACCAACAACCCTAGCATGTGCATGGAGCCATATAGAGCATTAAAATGATTTGGTCAATAATGAATTGTACTTAACAATACTGATGTCGTAAGATTATAACACACAGCTGAAGAATTCCGGCTGCCTAGTGATAATGTAGCCATTGGCAATATTCATAATATAGCACATAACTCTAGTGTCTACGGGGAGGCTGATGTAATCAGACTCATTGACCTGATAGCCATACACTTACAATTCAGCCCATAATATGTGACAACAAATATTATTTTTTTTTTAAAGATTTATTTATTTATTTTATGATGAGTACACTGTAGCTGTCTTCAGACACACCAGAAGAGGGCATCCAATCTCTTTATGGATGGTTGTGAGCCACCATGTGGTTGCTGGGATTTGAACTCAGGACCTCTGGAAGAGCAGTCCGTGCTCTTAACCACTGAGCCATCTCTCCAGCCCCCGACAACAAATATTATTAGTTCCAGTATTTACTAAGCTAGATTTTTTTAAACTGGAATTTTAGAAAATATACTTCTCCACTTATTTAAAAAAAAAAAAGTCGACTGTAAAAAATATTCTGTTACACTTGCAGCAGCCTCAAACAATTTCTTTTTTTTGTTGTTTTTTGTTTATTTTTTTGTTTGTTTGTTTTTTGAGACAGGGTTTCTCTGTGTATCCCTGGCTGTCCTGGAACTCACTCTGTAGACCAGGCTGGCCTCGAACTCAGAAATCCGCCTGCCTCTGCCTCCCAAGTGCTGGGATTAAAGGCGTGCGCCACCACCGCCCGGCCTCAAACAATTTCTAATCACCAAAACTCTTTTTTTTTTTTTTTTAAAGATTTATTTATTTTATTATGAGTACACTGTAGCTGTCTTCAGACACACCAGAAGAGGACATCGAATCTCATTATGGATGGTTGTGAGCCACCATGTGGTTGCTGGGATTTGAACTCAGGACCTCTGGAAGAGCAGTCAGTGCTCTTAACCGCTGAGCCATCTCTCCAGCCCATCACCAAAACTCTTGATGACACGGAAGAGCTGCGTCAGGCTGTGGGTACATGTCAACACAAAAGCACAAGCCTTGCATGTGCAAACCCTGGATTCAATCCCCAGCAACACATGCAAAAGAAGCCACATCAAGTGACTGACCTATACTATACAGATTGTATAAACACACTCGATGGTGTTACCTAATAATGAAAATCATCCAACAACAGACTTCTCAGAACACAGCCAAGTGTTAGAGAATACTTAACTGTAGTATTAAAAGCTTGGAAGGGAGAGACAGCTCAGCTGTTAAAGGCTAAGGTTCACACTTCTAAAGATACAGAACTTCCATGCATTTGTTGTGATAAAAATTCATGGACATGGATCACAGCAGAGTATAATGTGAATTCCTGAAACCTCCAATCTTTTAATTAGCTGCACTCTGACAAACACAGAAAGGCATTTACCCTTTGAACTGGAACCTCAAGCTAGCCAATGCCTTCTACAAACTGCCCTGAATCCCTCTGCCTGGGTTGCTATTCTCTCTCCCAGTTTTTAGAGCTTTACTTATTTTCCAAGCATGAATGTCAGCCCCTCTTGGTGGGCTTCGACTTATTTAGTTAGTGCATGTACATGTGCATGGGCTTGGGCATGCCATGGCACACATGTAGGGGTCAGAGAACAACTAGTAGAAGTCAGCTCTTTCCGCCGACCACAGAGGGCTCAAGATTGAACTCAGATGATCAGGTTTGGCAGCAAGCACCCTACCTGTTGAGTCACTTTGCCAGCCAAGTTCCTTAAGACTTTAAATTACCAGGATGGACTCCCATACAACCTATCTTCTATGTAACTACAATTGCTCTTGAAACAGGGTCTTGCTATGTAGCCCAGACTGACCTTGAACTCATGGCTATCCTGTCTCAACATCCCAAGTACACTACCATTATACCCACTTAAGAGTTTGCCTCTGGCCGGGGCGGTGGTGGCGCATGCCTTTAATCCCAGCATTTGGGAGACAGAGGCAGGCGGATTTCCGAGTTCGAGGCCAGCCTGGTCTACAGAGTGAGTTCCAGGACAGCCAGGGCTATACAGAGAAACCCTGTCTTGAAAAACCAAAAAAAAAAAAAAAAAAAAAAAAAAAAAAAAAGAGTTTGCCTGTGTAAGTCTAATTCTCATTATTGACTGGATCTAAAGAAGAGTGCTCTTCAGAGGCATGAACTATGTTTTATCAACATAAAGATTGCTTGGTCTCTACAGAGGCTCCAAGCATACCCCTTTCTCCATATATAATACTATCTACAGATGCAGCAAACATATTAATATAAAATGGTTCATAATTTGCATATAACTTAGGCATACCTTTCCCCTATGCTACAGATCATCTCTAGAGTACCCATAATATCCAACGCTATGTAAACTTCAGGTTGCTGTCATATAGTATTATTTGTGGAATGACAAGAAAAAGTCTGTATAATAGGTACTCAATACAAACACAACACCTTCAATTCACAAGTCAGTTGGATCCACAGCTGCAAAACCCATGCGAAGAAACCGAACCCTAATCGTGGTGGCCTGGTGCATAGCAGGCTTCAAATAAAATGACTGAATGAAATGTGACAAGTCTGTAAAATAAGCTACTCCTAAGAGGACTCTCAGTGATAAAGAAGTGACTTCAGCTGATAATCTAGTCATAGTCACTGATGACAATTTTCCCTTCCCTCTTTATAGAAGGTAGAACACTGTGCAATTTAGCATCTCCTCATTCCTTTGTATGTGGGTCTCACACAGTGAGACTGAAGGACACTAAAAGGTAGTCGTTTTTGTCTTCCCACAGAGACAGAAGCAAGCTCTGCATTTAAGATCAATGTTACCACACAGATGGCTTGCTTTATGGATATATATCACTCAGTTAACTATCAATTTTCTATATGAAAATGGATGTAGATTTTGTATCACATCTCTGACCTGACATCTGGCTATTCTCTCTAGCACACATTTTTAAAGTCAATACTAAGGACGAGTTTCTTGCCTGGAAAGATTTGAGTAGACAATATTTTTCCTGGTAAAGCTCATGACAATACTTTCAAGAAAAATAATTGCTGGGTAGAGTGGCACACAGGAGCTTGGGAGATGGAGGCAGGAGCATCGAGAGCTCCAGGCCATCCATGGCTACACAGCAAATTCAAAGCCAGCCTAGCCTGAACTACAGAAGAGTTAGGTTCCCAGCACCCACTCGGAAGCTAACAACTGCCTGTATTCCCTCTTCTGACCTACACACACACACACACACACACACACACACACACACACAAACACACACACACACGAATGCATACACACAAAACAAGCACACAGATACATTTTTTAAGTGTGAATAAACAATTTACACAGTTTTACAGTGATGAGTTATCAATAAAACCTCAGAACTGAGCTGGGCAGTGGTGGTGCAGGCCTTTAGTCCCAGCACTTGGGAGGCAGAGGCAGGTAGATTTCTGAGTTCGAGGCCAGCATGGTCTACAGAGTGAGTTCCAGGACAGCCAGGGCTACAAAGAGAAGAAAACCTGTCTCGAAAAAAAAAAACAAAATAAAAAACAAAACAAAACAAAAAAACCCCTCAGAACTGGAGGTCTAATTCTGGTGATATTTAGGCTACACTAGCAAAATTTTCTTCATCAATTGAGAAATTAAGCCATTGAATTCTAGATAGACATTTTCTACTAGCCCAATACTTCTCTGGGAACTTCCCCTCCATGTTCTTCATTTTAAGGAAGGAAATATGTGTGAGTGGTTCTGGAGGATCAAACAGTGGAGCTTGTTGAGCTGCTGTGACGAATTGAACTCAACAGTAAATCCCTACCAGTGCCCCAATCTTAGTATGTCATGGCCCCCAACTCCTAATGCACATGACTTAGAGTAAGACACTTGTTTCTCATCTCATTTCTCCAACCACTACTCTTAAGTCTGGAAGAACAAGAAGAAATCAATGGTCGGCCAAAGTCTACCAAACACACTCCCAGCTATCCAGCTCATGCAGTTTGGCCTCAAGCTCACTATTTATTCTTACTTTAAATGTCTAAAATTTACTCTCATCATTAAAAAAATACTTAAAATATTTGAAAACTTCATATTCTTACAAATGACTTGTTCATGGCACGTTTCACTTCATCAGAACCATCTGAATAGATCTGCTGAAATAACTTGTTTAAAGCTGCGTCACCCTCCAGCTTCTCGTTCTTTTCTTCTTCTTTGATTTCACCAACCAATTTATCCCAGTTCCTGGTATAATGAGATGAGGATGGATACATGTTCTTTACATCTACAAAGTGAAAAGACAGAAGTGATTAATCAGCTGTTCGATTATGTCAAGAAATATGTAAATGCCATGACCACAATATCCGGAACATCTTACCAAGTAGTTTAGGTCACTGAAATTCAACTTTGCATTAAGTGTCTCTCTGCTATACACATCAATAACATTTCAAAAACTGAGTAAGTTAGCATACTGCAAGATCTAGGATTTCTTCTGAGCAAAATAACTCCAAGTGTACATTTTTGATACAATATACAAAGCTAGACTAAAAAAAACTCTGTGTGCTAATCACAAGGGAAGCTGGGTTAAGCAGACAAAACTTCTATGGAAAGAAAAGTTACTCATGAAGCTGAAGCAAGAATATTGTAATGAGACACCAGGATGAGTTACATGGCTAAGGTTAAGGTCAGATTGTACTAAATGAGAACTGTCTCAAGAAAAAAAACAGATCAGAAGAGAAAGAAAAATAGATGGAAAAGAGAGGAAAATTAAAGCTAAAAGGCGGCTGGAGAGATGGACAATAGCCACACAACACGAGTTCGATTCCCAGGACCCATGAAAAGTCAGGAGAGAATGGAGTCTACAGTGCTGTCCTCTGACCTCCAGTACACAATGTTTTAGAAAAGAAGTGAAAGTTTGAAAAGGGCAGATGGCTCAGTGGTTAAGAGGACTTGTTCTTGCACAGAATCTGGGTTCTGCTGCCAGCACCTACAGGGTGGCTCACAACCATTCAAAATTCTGGTTTCAAAGCCCACTTCTGTGCTCCAGGATACCAGGCACACATATGGTGCACAGGCATACCTGTGAGCAAAACACTCACACACATCAAATAAGTAAATGTTTATAAAAGGCAGTACAAATAATTATAAAATACCAGTGTGCGCGCACACACACATTTTAGGCTGCTCCATGAGGATGGGAATGGTGGTCCATGGCAGAATGACTGCCTCCCATATACGAAGCTCTTATATCAAGTCCAGATACCACCAAAAGGCTTACCTAATTTTAAAATGTCTAAAGCTTTCTAAAAAAAGATTTTATTTGTGGCCGAGTGTTTACATATGCATCCAGTATACGCAAGTGCCCTGAGCCAGAAGGAGGAGTGAGATTCCCTGGAAATGAAATTACAGGGGTTGTAACTCCCTGATGTGAATGCCGGGTACCAAATCCCCGTCTTCTATGAGAACAGCGAGTGGGCAAAAACCACTGAACCATTTCTCCAATCAGTCTCTCAAGATTTTAGTGTAGCCTTTCTATAAGATACTTAGGTATCCTTCAAAGTGGAAATACCTGCCACATAGTGAGCTCATGCTCCATCTCCAGCGCGCGTATGCGCGCACACACACACTAGATTACTTCAGCAGAAAAAATTAGAGAGATGGCTCAGTGTTTGAGAGCACTGGCTACTCTTCCAGAGGACCCAGGTCCAATTCCCAGCACCCACATGGTAGTTCACAATTGTCTGTTAACTCCAATTCCAGAGGATCCAACACCCTGACACAGACATAAATGCAGCCAAAGCAGCAATGCACATAAAAATTTCAAAAGGAAAATTAAAAACAAAGCATTAAGTGACTCCTGGCTGCTGAAAACCAATCCACTTACTTTCCCACAGTATCTGAAAATAACACATAGACTTATCTACATAATATAGACAACAACACAATTTTTGAATCTATTTACATACAGAAGCTACAGACCCAGCAGCTCAAGGGATGCTATAAGACTAAGGAAATAAAGATCCTGGCAGTCAAATAATTGTTAAATAGACAAACTACATGACCCAGTACAGTAGGTCTAAGCGCCGCTGTTGAGCATCTAGTGAAACTACAGCAACAGCCAGAAGTGTGAGCCACATACACAGCCAATAGTTTTAGTACTATTAGTAAAAGGAAATGAAATACATTTTAATTTTTTTTAAGAAGTACATTTATTAGGGACTGGAGAGATGTCAACAGTTAAGAGTACCTGCTGCTATATTGCAAATGACCTGGGTTCAGTTCCCAGCACCCACATGGAAGCTTACAGCAGTCCTAACTCCAGTACACTCTTGTGACCTCCACACGCACCAGGCACACAGGCAAACACGCATGCAAAACTTATACACAGGAAAAAAAAAAAAAGAGCTGGGTGGGTGATGGTGTGCATCTTTAATCCCAGAACTCAGAAGGCAGAGGCAGACAAATTTCTGAGTTGAAGGCCAATCTGGTCTATAAGTTCTAGAACAGCCAGGGCTACACAGACAAAACCACCCAATAAAATATAATAAAAACTTAAATTACATGTATGTATTTATTGGGGAGGGTCCTCAGTATCAAACCTATGTCATTAGCAACAAGCACCGTCACCTTGAGACATCTCACCAACAAGCCCTTAATGGATTTTTTAAACCTAACATAGCAAGAAAGAATATTATTTCAACATCAAGTCTCCAAGAAAATACTAAAGCACATTATGGTCCTTTTTTATATATACATCTTAAAAATTGGGTATGCATTCCACATCTTAATACAGACTACTTCAAGTGGCAAACAGCCAGCAGCTACTAGAAGGGACAGTATAGTTTACAGTGCTTTAAAATGGGAAGGAGGGAGGGAGGGAGGGAGGCGGGCTGATTCCAGGTTTCCCTGTCACACTGGAACACAGTAACACTAATCTAAATGTTCCTTCTCCAATAATGCCTTTCTACATCTCTTTTCTAAAAATAGTTGAGAAACTACTAAATAAACATTTATTCTTTTCTTGTGCCTTTTTACCTATAAATTAACCAACTTTTTCTTTATCCATTCTTCATCAAAATAAATCCCAGGAAGACCTGGTACAGTTTCATCCAGAGTATACATATTGCTTTAAACATCTTAAATGTTATTTCCCTCTACTGGAAACCAGGTCTTTGTACATTTTACTGGTAGCCAAGAAAAGCAAGAAACATAAGACATTGTTAAGGAGCTGGGAACATGGATTTAATTAATTCTAATACTGACTCCCAGGAAGAATGGGAATGAAGTTTTAATCTCTACTCTACAGATAAGAAAGCTGGCCTAGATAGGTTAAGTGACTTGTCCTTATCTACAGTTTCCAGCTTGCAATACACAGAATCTGACAAGCATATTAATTCTTCGAGAAACACAACAGGACAGGAGGGAGTGCATCTTGAATTTCTAAAAGATTCAGTTTTGAAAAACTGCACATACACACACACGCACACACACCCTCAGGTACACACACCCTTGATATTTAATCTCAGAACTAGTTGAATAACTAGAGACAGTAGGTGAACTACTGAGAGTAATCTAAGTCTCTGCTCACTCACTTTATCCCACAACTGTGACTGCAGAGATCACCTCCACTGATGGAGAATGAGTCCCATAGGACACAGCAACAGTTACCAGAACTACACCCACTCTGCCCTGAATTTTAGTACTCCACAAATCCACTAGGTGATCTGAACAGGTAAAATAGCTGGGCTGCCTATTATTATATGAGCACTGTATTACACCGCTGTTCACCTCAGCCCCAAAACCCTGAGAGTCAGTCCCAAAAGATGGTCACAAAATATTTATCCTTTGAAGTGTCAACTAGAAATCATCTTTGCAGTCTCTCCTGGTTTTGCTAACTTTGCTACAAATTAGTTAAAATTCTATCACTGAGTAAAGAAACACTTATATTTTTGCAACTTTTATACATACATGAAATTAATTCTGACATACACACATACACAGGACCTGTTAATAACTTTGTAAAAATTGTCACAAGCACATGCGTTTTCTACTATAAAAGGGGTAAAAATCTGAAATTAGCGGAGACACACTGTTAGCTTATTTCAGCCATCATATCAGAGTATTAAACAACAAAAAGAAATTTCTCCCTATTCAGTAATGAGGCAATTACACTAAGATACAATCTTGGGTTGCAGTTCTAAGAGGGTCCTGCAGGTTAATTATTCCACTAGTAACGAGATGCTTATCTGCTGATTACACATGCGCAGACTGGGCTGCAACACATAAAGGACTATATGATCAACTCCACTTGTTTCCTCTTCCAGACACTCATTTACCCATCTGTGTCCAACTCTACATTAGTAAGACAAAGTCCAAATGCTCTACTCTCTGAAGTCCTGAAATTCTAGGAAACGAGAGATGAGAAATCAGCTGGAAAATCAGAGAGGAATAAAGAAGGAACATGGAAGGGTACATCAGCGATGCAAACTGCCTCACCATGGGAGAGCGCAGCACACCAGAGAGCAGACATTTGCTGACTTGAGTCATAAACTGACACAGTGGACAGTCCCAAGTCTTCCGGGCCTGGCCGCCATGTGTCTGTGTTCAAATGTCAGACATCGGGATGACTTTATTATACTCAGAGTATAATAAATATTTTCTTCATAAATATTGAAGGAGGGAGAGTGCTCACTACCACTTACTTCAACTACACTATGAAAGGGAACTTCAGGTAGAATACAAACCTGCTGTGAACTGTTTTGGTGTGGGCTCATCTCCTTGTCCCTCTAGCTTCTCCCATCTCACCGCCTCTGGCTTTTTCATTTTAATTTCAATCTGAAGGAAACAACAAATAAAATCCATTATTCAACGTAAGATACATAAAACTATAAACATGCAATTTTCATAACTAATCAAAGTTTTATAAGAATTAAGTGTCTTTGACAGTTTTCCTAAATTCACAAAGTTAAATCTGAAGAATTATGAAACAATTATTTTGTTTCTACTCCTACATTTTTACCCTTCAAAAACAATACACATACCATATAAGCTACAATTAACAGTCTTGAAATTCAGACTGATGAGAGGGACCAGTGGGTAAAGGTGCTGTGGCCAAGCTTACAATCCATGGAAAGCACACGGAGGACGAGAGAACGGACTTCCAAGGTTCTGACTCCCATAAGTATGTGTGTACATGTGCTTGCTCTTTCCAAATACACACACACACACACACACACACACACATACACACACACACATATACACACACAGGTATACATACATATATGGAAGGGTCTTGAAATCTAAATGCTTTATATTTCTTCTACAAAAGTGTTCTTAAACAGAAATAATGCCTCTGCCATTCAAGGAGCATTTGACAATAGCAATAGACAGTGATCTTTGATGCAAAGTTGGCAAAAGGAAGGGGGAATACAGACACCCAGTGAGGAGAGACTAGGGAATCCTAAGAACCCTGCACAGATTCATACAGAGCAAATGTCAGCAGTGCCACGGAGACACCTGTTCTCAGCCGTACACGCACGTATGCATTTCGCCTGCTCCAGGAGCTTACCCCACTGTAACAAGAGTGCGGTATAAAATCTAATGCTGACAACTGTATAATCAATCACCCATCAAACACATCATTTTAAGTTGAGATTCCATTTATTGAAATGCTTGGAACAAGAAATACTTCAGACTTTAGATTTATTTTTTAAAAGATTTTTTTTTGTTTTTAAATAATGTCTTGGGATTAGAGCAAAAGCTAAAAGAAATTCATTTATGTTTTAGATAATAATTAGATACCCAGCTTGCAGAACATTTTATACATACAATAGCTTTAGGGTGTATGCATTTAAAATTTTTACTTTTATTCTTTAGGTGTATGAGAGCGTGTGTGTGTGTGTGTGTGTGTGTGTGTGTGTGTGTGTGTGTGTGGCCCACAGAGGATAGATGAGGGAGCCTCGTACCCCGGAGCTGCAGTTACAAGCATTGTGAGCAGCTAGGTAGGAGTGCTGGGGACCAAACCCAGGCGCAGAGGTTAAGGTCACTCACTGGTTGTTCTTTTCTCTAATGTAGGCTGGACCCTAAACTCCACCCCTTATGTCTGACACACTAACTGCTGGGACTCTTCCTGGGGAGACAGACAAACGTCTGCTGACCTCAAACAGGGCACGAGACCAAAGGATTGCAAATAAGTCTGGCTAGGAGAACTAACAACTCCCAGTAAGTTCACGGACATACACATATCTGCAGAACATTGCATACTAGCACTCACATTTACTGAAAGCTACTGTACCTGGGCATTTGTGCAGTTTGAACAAAGAGGCCTTTATCTCTTAGCACAAGCTGACCTAACTTGAAGTTATACTTAATCCATTCACTAGGACAGTAGCATGCATCCCATAAACCACTTAAGGGAACTTCTTAGAAGTTCAAAAGATGAGGAGAACTGTGAATTCCTTTTTATTCTTAATTTTCAATTCATAAGTGTGCTTAAAATTAAATTTAAGTCTTGAGGACTCTGGTAGATACTTCTAGAATTACCTCTCCAGTTTTAGAAATGTTTTCATTGTAGCCATTAATAAGCAAACTTACTTTTACTTAAGTAAATCTTCCTTAAAAGTTTGAGAAGATGGCTCAGTGGCAAAGTGCTTGCTTGCCCCACAGGCCTAAAGACCTAAGTTCAGATCCTCAGCACCCATGAATACAGCTGGGCATGGAAGTATGTGCTTATAACCCCAGAGCTAAGAAGGTGGAGATGGGGGTGGGGGTGGGGTGGGGTGGGGGTGTGCACAAGGGAATTCCTGAGCCTTGCTGGCCAACTAATCTAGCCAATAAATGAGCTCCAGGTTCAGTAAGAGACCGTGTTTCAAAGTGAAATGAGGAAGACACCAGATGTTGTCCTGGCCTTCACACACATGCACTCACACACATGTGCAGCATCCCCCAACACACACTCACCTTAAAACTTTGGTAGTTTGCTTATAAATTACTCTCAAGTACACAGAAAATGCTTTTAAGATATGATCATATCTCAGAGAAGTATCTACAAGCCATCTGTAAGAAACCAAACTGTGCTGGCTCACCACCAACCCACTCCTGAGGACTCTGTATGTAAGAGAATTTATTAATTTTTCTCAAAGGACAATTGCTCCAGCACTACTCCTAAGCAATCAAGGCATTCATCGCCTTCTCTGAGCAAAAGCCATAGACTGATGGTAGAAGGGTTTTCCTCAGGACCTGAAGAGCTCTCTCTCTGGCAGTTGTTCAGGACGAAGCCGTCCTTCCGAGCAGTCTATGCTGTCAACTGTATCAGATTCCTTTGCTGTTAAAGCAGTATCTCAGGACTCTGTGAGCAGACTCGGTAATCTACCTTATTCGACCATGCACAGGTCAGAGGACAATTTACAGGAAGCTGGTTTTCCCCACCTCTTCTTAATTCTAATATTTACCACAGGTTGAGATAGATTCAGGGCAACATATCCTATACAAGATCATGCTATCATATTCCTCCCTCCCACTGTATGTTCTGAATTACCACCAAAATCCTAACTTGTATGACTCTTCTCGAAAGCTGCAACAACATTCCAGTGTACAACATGCATACTGAAAAATAGCTGGTTATTCAGTGGAATGTATGCTAAAATGTCAACAGTGAACATGACATGTGCTCTATGTGAAAGATCTAGATGTTCAGTTGGCAGCATGCTGAATTGCCATCAGCAGTATACTTCTCCACCTTTCCTATACTCTGCATGTATTTTTTATAGCCCAAATAAAAATATGAATTATGAAGGCAAGTAGCAATGATTGGGTACTATGTGCTTAGCGCTTTACATATGCCAGCTTACTTAAGAGAACCGTGTAAGACTGCTGTCTACATTTCATTTATTTGCATGTGTGGGTGTGTGTACCTGTGTGTGTGCACACTCCTGTGCAAAGACACCAGGTGTCTTCCTCTCTCATTCTCTGCCTTCTATTGTGAGATGGGGTCTCCCACTGAACATGGAGTCCAGCATTTTAGCTAGTCTGACAAGCCACCTTGCTCTAAGGATCCCTATGTTCATCTCCTGTGTGCCGAGGATCATGAGCAGCCACCACCCCCACCGATGGTATGTAGGCTCTAGAGATCTGGGTCCTCACTCCATCCCATCCTGCTAGCACTACTCTATGTAACACTGTCTCCCTCTGCTGTTCGAAAAGGGAAATGATCAAAATTTCACCATTTACTTCCCTAAAGAAACATAATTACAAAACAATTTCAATTTGTTTTTGTAAAACACAGCAGTTTATGGTTACATTTACAAAGTACGTTAATCCCAGGGTGGAGCACAGCTTTGTCTCTCTGTAGGTCTCTCAACCCTGTATCCAGCTGTGCAACTGAATCGGCAACCACAAAAGCTTTTGGCAACAGTAATGCACAACCACCACAAGTTAACTCAACACCAAATCTGTCGTGAGCCCACAGCCTGTGGGCAGCCCTGGCCAATACTGCACTGTACAGCATCTCTGCAGCCTTGGCCTGAACACACAACACACATACTCTGCCCTGTGCATGGTCTCACACATGCTAACATGCTGTAACATTAACTGAATACTGCCTGAAACACCTTAGCTGAGATTCAAGACTAGTGCACGTTATAAACTGCAATAATTTTGATTCACACAAATTTTGTGATCTTAAAAAAAAAAACAAAAACATGGCTTAATTATAGAAAACAAAGACTTTACTATATTCCTCCTGCCATACCTCAGCATAGAAGTATTAAACTATTCTATCCTGGGATTTTATTGGTTTTACCTTTTGAATTGCCAGCGTAAATTTCATAAAAATAAATAAAGCATTCAATGAATTCTGGCTTGGTATTAGGGCAGAATTTCCTACACTTTCTGAAATGGCCCTAAAAGTACTTGTCATTTTCTACCATGTATGTGAAGAAGCAGCATTCTAAGAACTGATGGTTACAAAACCAAAGGTCAAACAACTCTTTAAAAAAAAAATCTAAGATGCTATATGCACCAAGTAACAACCAAGTTTAATTCTTCATACAAAAACCAAAGAACACCTACTTTAACTTCTATTTTTAGTATAAATAGCAAGTTTCTACATATAACTAAAAAATTGTTTAAAAATTAAATTTCTTTAAAATTTATTATCAGTGAATGTTTGAGTTATATATCTATCTATACATGCCCAGGGCCACATTAAAATTTCTCAATCAAAATGGTTTTAAAAGCCCTGCTTTTGACACAACCTTAGAATTTTAAGTTCCATTCAATAAAAGCAAAACCTAAGAAACATTACTCTTAGCTGGCAGTCAGAATTCAAATATGTATCCCGGGCCAGCACAAACAACTGACAGAGATCCACCTGCCTGGGGGTTGGGACAGGTGTGTGCCACATGCACAGTGATCAATTATTTACTACGGTGTAAACTATGAGGAACCATTTAAACCCATCAGACTGTTTTCTTCCGTGAGCCTTTAATCCCAGGACTCAGGTGTCAGAGGCAGGCTGATCTCTGTGAGTTTGAGACCAGCCTGGGCTATGGAGGGAGTTCTCGGACAGTCAGCTCTACAGAGAGAAAGCCTGTCTCAAAAAACAAACAAACAAAACAACAACAACAACAAAACTATATGAATAAACAAAAGCCAAAACCAAAACACTCTATCAACTCCAATTCAAATTCTTCTGCAAGTGTGACTGAACACTATGTACATAGGGGAGAACTACTAAATTTTGCAGATAAAAATAGTGTGGGTATATTTATGCTAAAAAATTATTCAGTTGCCTGGTGTGATGACATGTGCCTTTAATCCCAGCACTCAGGAGACAGAGGCAAGTGGGTCTCTGTGAGTTAGAAGCCATCCTGGTCTACAGAATGAGTCCAGGACAGACAGGGTTTGTTACACAAGAGAAACTCTGTCTCAAAAAACCTAAAATAAAAAATTTTTCATTACCTGAAATACAAACTGCATTAACGTGTCAAACATTATGTGAAATACAAGTTCTTAAGTCATTTATCATCTCTTCAGAGAAATCAATTCTTATTAAATTACGTGTAGTAGGAATCTCTTGGGCTGGGAAAATACCTAAGTGGTAAGACTGCACAGGTCCCAGGTTCAATACCTAGCAACAGGAGGCAGGAGGAGGAAGTGGGTGAGGGTGAGGGGACAGACAATAACAAAGGACAATATCTGAATGTCAGCATTCAAAAGGCCAAGGCAGGAGGATGAAGAGCTTGAGGGCAGCCTTTGACTTAAAAACCAAAACTAAAAAACACTTAACAAAAGATACACCATTTCCTCACCTGCCTCTCTTACATCTTCCTCACAACTGACTACCCAAAATTCTATTATTAAACAAATGTAACTCTATGTGGATAGAATAACTGAAAATGGTCAATCCCTTGTAGTAGTTTGAATATGCTTGGCTCAGTGGGTGGCACTATTAGGAGGTGTGGCCTTGTTTGAGGAAGTGTGTCACTGTGGGGGTGGGCTTTGAGAGACCCTCCTCCTAGATGCCTGGTAATCAGTCTTCTCCTGTTGGCCTTTGGAACAAGATGTAAAACTCTCAGCTACTCCTGCACCATGCCTGCCTGGATGCCGCCATGCTCTCCCACCTTGATGATGATGGACTGAACCTCAGAATCTGTAAGCCAGCCCCAATTAAATCTTGTCCTTATAAGAGTTGTCCTGGTCATGGAGTTTCTTCACAGCAATGGAATCCCTAACTTCTCAGACACCCCTCTTCCCACTCTGCATCATCCCACAGAGCGCTGTGTCATGTAGCTGCCTCATAATTGGTCAGCTTTATCCTGACAAGCCATACATGCATTTCTTAAAGGGCAACCTTTAAGTCAAAGCAAACTCTACCTCTAAGCTTTGTTCTCCCTACTCCAACAGAGGAAGGTCATGATTCTAATTCCAGGAATAGAGAAGATTATATTGTTAAGTGTCTACCTACACAACTCCTTTTTCATTAATTCATTTATGATATACTTTTATTTATGATAAATGATTTCACAGTTTTACAATTACATAGTTTCACAAATCATCTCAAGATGCATTTAACCTATACCTTTCATTTTGGGTTGCACACATCACACACTTTATTTACACTGTATTTTCTTTTTTTTTTTTTGAGGGAGGTTCTCACTCTAACCCATGCTGACCTGAAAATCACTCTGTTTGCCTCAAACTCACAGCAATTCTCTTACTCTAGCCTTCTGGATGCTGGGATTACAGCTAGGAGTCACCATACCCTACAGTTTTTATTTTTAATTTTTTAAATATTCTCTACTAAGTTATACTACCTCCTTCTTTTTTGGAATGACATTTAAAATACTCTAAAAACGAATTCCATTGTGTATTCTTATTTTTAAAATATACAGGAATCTAGATTATATAGTCAGACTATAATTCAAATATATTCAGCATTTCCTCTTAATAAAATAACCTAGAGCTGGGCAGTGGTGGTGCACATGTTTAATCCCAGCACTTAGGAGCAGGGGCAGGCAGATCTCTGAGTTCAAGGCCACTCTGGTCTACAGAGTGAGTTCTAGGACAGCAAAGGGTACACAGAGAAATCCTGTCTCAAACAAACAAACAAAACAACCTAAATTCAGCTTGACTAATAAAATCAACAAAATGCAAATTTCTCCTTAGAGTCCTCATAAACTATGTGAAACATGAGTACTTGTATACCAAAAACAGATTACCCTGACCATTCACGAGATCAAACCTCTTGAAGAGGCTGGTTAGAACTAGAGAGATGGCTCAGTGGAGAAAAGCACATACTGTCCTTGCAGAGGTTCCCAGACTCCATATCCACCTTTATATGCCAGTTCCAAGGGGGTCCACTACCTCTGGCCTCCTCAGACACCTGCACTCATGTGCACATGTCCCAGTATAAATACTTGCATGATTTTAAAAACAATGAAGTCTAAGGGGTTTGTTCTGCATGGATGAGGACATGAATTTAGCTTCGAGCACTTACAGAAAATGCAGCTGTGTCATTTGTTCTTAACCCCAGAGCTAGTACAGCAGAAAAAGGCAGATTCCAGGGGTTCACTGCCTGCCAATCTAAATAAACAAGGGAGCTGCAGTACTGCTAAAGACCCTACTTCAAAAGATAAGGTGAAGAACAGTAGAAAAAGAAAGACACCTGACATCAACCTCCAGCCTTTTCACATACATGCACAGGGGAGTATCTCTCTCTCTCACACTCACACACACACACTAACTAACTAGGCTGACTGATAGTTCTACATTAAATAGAAATCTGTCTTAGTTAGGATTTTCCTGCTGTGAACAGATATCATGACCAAGGCAACTCTTATAAGGACAACATTTAACTGGGGCTGGCTTACAGGTTCAGAGGTTCAGTTTGTTATCATCAAGGTGAGAACACAGCAGCATCCAGGCAAGCATGGTGTAGGAGATAAGAGTTCTACATCTTCATCTGAAGACTACTAGGAGAAGACTGATTACCAGGCAGCAAGGAGAAAGGTCTCAAATCCTACCCCCACAGTAACACACTTCCTCCAACAAGGTCACACCTACTTCAACAAGGCCACACCTCTTAATAGTGCCACTCGCGGGGCCAAGCATATTCAAACTACCACAAACCTGAGTTTGATCCCCTGGACCCACCCACAAGATAAATGAGAACCAGTTCCCACAAGATGTTCTATGACCTCTATCCACCCATCACAGCACTCATGTCCACTACACTACACACACACACACACACACACACACACACACACACAAATAAAAAAATTAAACATAACTTTAAAATTTAGAAAAAAAATCTTTGTTCTTATTTACTTATCCCTTTGTGTCTTAAAAAGCTACACTGGGATGGAGACTCGTGGTAGAGTACTTGCCTAGCACACAGAGTTCTAGGTTTGGTCCCTAACACAATGACAGCAGGGGCTACAAGCCAATTAATTATACATGGGCGTTCCAGACCCAACGCCCTAAGTTCCTGATACTGCTGTGCTTAAGCTAATAGAGAAGAAGAAAATTTAACAGCTACCAGCATCTTTTTGTAGATACTACTTTTTTAATACCACATTTTTTTCTGCTTGCTTACCTTTGTTGAAAGTACTTTAAATGTACTCTGTTCTGGTATTATAGGGTGAAGCAACCTCAGTTTCAAACTATAGTCTTCTCCAGAAGGAATTTTCACCAAAGCAGACAACTAATGAAAACAAAATTAGTATCATACTTTGTAAGTGTATATAGAAGGCCAAGTATTTAATATAATTACAAATTTCAGCAATGTTGCACATTAAGTATTTTACATAAAAATCAGATGTATGAGTGCGTGCGTGCGTGCGTGTGTGTCAGATGACAGGTTTCAGGAGTCTGCTTTTCCCCTCCCCATGTGGAACTTCAGGACTGACTGTCAGGCTAGGCGAGCAGGGCCTTTACCCTCCTAGCCATCTCACCAGTTCTACAATGTCAGATTTAGGCACTTCAAAAGAGTATTTTCTTTTCTCTACATGGCATCTCTCATTTAAATTTTCATATACAGAACCAAATGATAGAGAAGAATGTTGCATAGTATTAATTACAGGTCTAATTACACATATTTAGCATTTAAATCAAGAAAACATAATATAACAAGAATAAAGTAATGTAGGATATAGTTTTTAAAAAATACCTACTCATATGTAAATTATGTTAGCTCTACCACAATCCTGCATGTAAATATCTATCCAGAGGAAGGAAAAACCTCTTTTAACGTAACATACACCAGTAAGTTTAACCAAAGGACTGATCTTACTGTCAGCCCAGCTCTGCTTTGCACTGCAACTCTAACAATTGATGTAACCCAGCAACGGTGGTGTATGTACACCACGAGGACTGCAACAGGTTTGAGGCTAGCCATGGCTACATAGCAAAACCTTGTCTCAGACCAAGTACAAGCACCTCTAGAGACAGCCTATCGCAAACATGCTCTTACTTCAAATTTTCAAAAACTTGAAATGAAAAGCAATGCTTCCAATTTCATTGAGTATTTTCCATTTTATCTCAAGAAGAAATGAAATATATCTAATAAACTTGTATAAACTGTTCATATACTAAATTTACAAATAGTATTTAACAGACAGTATTCTATATAAGGTTCAAAGTCTAATTACCTCTTTTTCTGAAAATTCCACATGTACATCATTCTTCTGAACATTCTTGATCATAAGTGTAATGATTACTTGAGATTCTGTTTGATACCAGTCATACCTATTTAAAGAAATATCTTAACATAATTTCTGATATTTTTAAGTTGTCAAATTAATAGTCTGATAAGAACAAGAGCTCCACCTTTAGGAAGTAAATGACAAAGCAGCTATAGACAACTAATTCCTATCACCTACACTGGTAGGAAGACAAAGTCAAACCTTTCCAGACCCAACGCCCTAAGTTCCCGATACTGCTGTGCTTGAGCTAATACAGAAGATGAAGAGTTAACATCACCAGCTGTGTGCACCACCATCATCTTCTAACTCTCTTTAAAAGCAGACTGAGAGTGCTAGCTTGGAAAGATAAAGCAGTCAGCTTGTGAATCAACTGGCAACACTGTCACAGTGGACACAGGTCAACCTGCGACAGTGCTCTACGTTCTGCTCACTCAAGGTGGGGACAAATACAAGGGGGAGAAACAATAAGGAGCACTGCACAGATCCCGCAGCGCCTGCCGACACACTATCACTGTAGTAAAGCGCTGATTCAAGTTCGGAGGGAAGACCGGTGAATCTAAGGAGGCGTATTTGACACGTCCTCGCACAACGACGGTGCTGAAAATGTGTCTCACTTCCAAACTAGACTAAAATCTCCTGGAGGGCAAAGCTGCCTATCCAGCACTAATCTATTTCTAAGAATAAGGGCAAGTGCCTGTTTCACAGTATACTTAATAACCTGTTTTGAACTGCTACTCGCCTGCTTAGATTAAAATAAAAGCATCTTGACTCAAGAAATGCACTTCAACAGTCCCAGCATACGCCTTCACAACTAGTGATACTCAAAGGTCTACACCAAACTCTCTTGTGTTTTGGCTACAGTCTTAAGAATATAAGTTGTTTACGTGGCAAGAGAACACTTTGTATGTTGTGTGCATGCATGCATGTGGCCTTGTGAATGTGTGTGTTGCCCGGCAGTTGGGTGTTTTCTGTAATTGTTTCCTAAATTATTTCTTGAAATGAGTTTATCACTCAACTGGAGTTTATTAAATGGCTGGACAAGCTCTAAGAAGCCAGCCTTCTCTACCCCTCAGCACTAGGACCACAGCCGTGTGCTGCCATGACCAGTCTTTTGTTTGGTTGGGTTTGTTATTCTGTATTAATGTAGGTAATGGGAATCCAAACTCAGATCTTCACTCTTGCAGGACAAGCACTTCACTGACTGAGGCGTAGTCAAAGCCTTGCTATTCACTCATTATGTGATTGCAATACTAGCTTTGAACTCATGTGCAACATTCCGAAAAAAAACTGACCCAAATATAAGAGGCAGGACAAGGAGTGAGGACACAGTTCACCTACGTGGCACTTGCCTAGGATGCAGGAGGACTTTGCTGGTTCAGTCCTCAGCACCTCCTTCTCATGCATGCATGCATGTATACACAACACAGACACACACACACACAGACACACACACACAGCAGCAGCATGGCAAATTTCAATTCTGTGTAGCCTACTACTTCTTTATATAGATGACGGTAACTTAACTGGAAGCGGCTCTCCTTAATATACACAAAGGCAACATAATATGGAAGCAAGCTAAGCCAAGTTTAGAGATGACAGTTATTTGAATTCATTAAAATGTTAATACTAATTAGTAGACAGACTTAAAGTTAAATTTTTCATGAGGACTGTGACACAATTTTTAAATTAGAAAACACTTAAAATTACAGTTAAGGATCTGCCTTCTGTGAAACCAGAATTTTCTCCTCTTTAAGCATGTTTACCATGGACTGCTTTATAAGAAAAGAAACACTTACTTGATTTTGGACTGGGTCCTCTGAGATGCAGACTGGTTTGGGCAAATTGAAAGAGAAAAATTTTACGTTAGTTTACCAGCTATATTAAAAAATTCATGTATTATTAACTAACTAAGCCTTGTAGGTTTATAATATAGAAAAAGTAGTGTGTAATTTGTGTAATCTCAGTGCTTGGCCGACTGCTTTTCTAAGCAGTAGGAGTAGAGGTACCACACCAGCCTCACTTCCACAGCAAGACCCTGCTGCAACAAACAACAAACTTTCCTGTAACTAGAAAAACCAACTTGTGTAGTACACCCAGTTGAAAGATACAGAACTCAAGAACTGAAGACCATTTTCAGTGGGTGTGGCAGCAACACACCTATAATCCCAGCACTTGGGAGGTAGAGGCAGGAAGAACAGGAGTGAAAGGTCACCTTCAATGACAAGACCAGCCTAGGCTACAGAAGACACTGTCAAGAAATAGACAGTATAACCTTAGGCTTAATTATGATTATCAAACACTGCTCTAGAAACTGTAAAGGAGCATCTCAAGGGTTAGCTTCTGAAGGCCATTTTACCACATTTAAAGCATCTCTGAAACATAACCTAACCATAAGGAAATGAAAGTACAGGAATTAGAAGAGTGAGCCACCACTCCCAGTCAGCAGAATGGGCCTTACCTAAACCACACGCTGAAACTATATGCTCACTAGTTAAGGCTATGTAAAGAAGATGGCCCAAATCATGGGTGGCCTCTAATTTGTCCCTAATGAAAAAGGAAGCAACCAAAGAAGCAAAACCAACTGAAGTCAACTTGGAATTCCTCTCCAGCATTAGCTCACAGGAAACAAGTGCAGATACTGACCAGAACAAGTACACTGTAACCTGGAACCAGGACAAAACTAGATCAAATCGGGGCTGGAGAGAGGGCTCAGCAGTTAAGATAACAGGCTGCTCTCCAGAAGACCCAGGTTTGATTTGTAGCACCAACCTGACAGCTCACAACCACCTGTAATTCAAGTTCCAGGGGATCCAATGCCCACTTGATGTCATGATGCACATACATGTACATTTAGGAAAAACACTCAAACACATTAAAAAAAAAAAACTTAAAAAAGATAGACAGACCGACCAACCATCCAAAATAAAGGGTATATAGCACTATAGCTATACATGCTTGATTACTGGACAAATGTGGCTTTGTCAGCTAGCCAAATGCCATTCTGTTGTGTGCAAGCTGTTATAGTTTAGATACTAAGTGTCCCCTGATCCCAAAAGTTAAACATAGCTGATGGTACCATTCTGGGAATTAGGGCCTGTCTGGAAGAAAGAAGTCACTGGGGAATTGAATGCCTTTGAAAGTTATATTGGGTGTCCTGTCTGCTCACCTCTTTCTGTTTCCTGGTCACCCTGATGTAAACTGCTAGGCTTTGACTGATCTCCCTAAGCAGATGAGCCAAAATAAACCTTTCCTCCCTTAAATTGCTTTTCTTAGTTCATAGTACTTGGAAAAGCCTGGCCCATACACAAACCTAGATTCAATTCCAAATATTCTAAGGCATGAACAAAAAACTATTAACAGGTAAATTAGGAAGTCAGCCTGTAAAGACCTTTAGTTCCTCATTTACCACCCAATTACCTAGGAATGAAGGGAAAGCACGAACATGCATAGGTGTGTTGGGAGCCGACTCCTAGCCGAAAGCGGCTATCATCTTTGCAGCCATCTCAGGCCATCTACCCTGACAAGAGACTTGTTTTCAACAGCCCGAAACAGCTGAGCACACTCTGATAAATACTTGTTTTTCTCACATATCGTGTTTTGCTGTTTAGTGCCGCCAGCTGCAAGGCGCACGTGATATCCACGCTGCTGGGTGCACGTGGTCTCCTCACTGCTAGCTAGGTGCACATGATATCCACGCTGCAAGGCACATGACGTAGTGCCTTCAGCTGTGCTTGTCCACGAGGGCAAGGCATGTGGTAAAGGGTATAAATACCCAGGATTTCCTTCCAATAAACGAGACTTGATCAGACTCCCTGTCTTGTCTCCATTCTTCGCGTCTCCGTCCCCACTCTCTCTCTTGCTAGGCCCTGACCTGCGGACCGGAGCAGCAGAACTGGCGGCTACAAAGTGGCCCCCAGAACGTGAGGCAGCTCGGGGGGCTACAAAGTGGCGACCAAAGTGGGGCTCCAGTACGCAGGACACAGCAGGAATTGGAAGCATGCATCCTCACTCCTGCGCTGGAGACCCTGCTGACTGACCCGAACAGGTTGCTACATAGATGGTTGAAAAGGGCTTCAATTTTGAAGGCTGCTGTAAACTTTACCTATATACACGCATTGACTAATACTCCCTAGAAATCTGAAGCAGAATAGCTCTGTTAGCTGCAGTTTTTTAACCCCCAGTTTTTCCAAACAGTATTCCTCTGTGTAGCCCTGGCTCTCCTGAAACTCACCCTGTAAACCAGGCTGGCCTTAAACTCAGAGAGCCACCTGCCTCTGCCTCTGGGATTACAGGCCCTGCTGGAAATCATTCTTAAAAAAGATGAACAAGCATCTCAAAAAGGTAATTATCCATAGTCAGGGCTATACACACATTTCCCAAGTCACTGTGATTTTCTTTATTATGTATGTAACAACTACTACTAAAACGGTGTGCCATAATTTAAGTCTAACGTATGAAAGTCAAAACTGATTAAAAACCAAAATGACTCTGGGGCTGGAGAGATGGCTCAGCAGTTATCAATACTGGCTGCTCTTCCAGAAGACCCACGTTCAATTCTCAGCATCCACATGACAGCTCAAAACCATATGCCAACTCTAGTCCCAGGGATGGGATGGCTTCTTCTGACTTCCACGGGTAACACACACATACGTGGTACACAGATATACACACAGATAAAACACTAATACACATAAAGAAATTTCAGAAACTCATATTCAAATATTTTAAGCTACTTTGCCTTATAATTTCATCGTATTTTTTAAAAGATTTATTCACTTTCTATTTCTATGTCTGTGCGCCTGCACAAGTGTCTGCTCACCACATGAGAACAAGCATCCTGGGAGACCAGAGGTTATCAGATACTCTGGAACTAGTAGAGTCACATGTGGTTGTGAGTCACTTGATGCAAATACTGGGAACTGAATCTGAGTCCTCCGGAAGAGCAGCAAATGCTTTTAAGTACTGAGCCAGCTCTGCAGCCTTGGCACTGTAATTTGTAACAATGTTTTGAACATGAAAATCCGTAACTGTTAACAACATTAAGAATAAATCAAATGGAGCTAGAGAGATGGCTCAGTGGTGAGATATATTAGCTATTCTTCCAGAAGTCCCAAGTTCAAATCTCAGCAACCACATGATGGCTGAAAACCATCTTTAATGGGGTCTGATCCCTCCTTCTGGCATGCAGGTGTACACACAAACCACAAAAGTCACATAGATAAATAAATCTTTTTAAAAAAAAGAATGAACCAAACAGAAGCATTTCCAGTTTACTTTAAGCCTTCTGTAAAAAGCTCCACACGATGACCTTTAACCTAATGGCTGTTGATAACTGGTAAAGAAAAGACAGGAAATAGTCATCCTGGTGACGTAAAAGCCCAGTCAGCTTAGATTGTACACTAAATTCATGAAGACAGCCCAGTGCTTTCCACGATTATAAACTTGTAGCTTTTATTTCAACAAAATGAGCTATTTCAGAGAACTAATATTTAAATGGAACTGTTTAATACTTATGAGAGCTCATGCCAAGCTCTAGCTTAGATATATATTTGATTAATTAAATGTAACATCATGAAACAAAACATGAGGGATGAGAGGACTTACCACTTCAGGTTCTGATCCTATAAAAAAAAAAAACAAAGCATTTTCAGGTACTAGTATGTTTATAGGCAAAGCTACAGACATGATTTCTACAGAAAACATATCAACCAAAAAGCTAATTTTTTAATATATTTCAAATGAAGCAAATTGTTTCCATTTTTCATCCAAGAGTTACTTTTTTGAATCCTTGGTTATCTTTAACTGGTAATAACATAATACTATTGGCAAAGCAAAACCATCAAATTTTCCTTCTGACATAGGACTGAAAACGAGGGTCAGGAGAAAGCAGCCTCCTGCTGTGGCTGGGTGTAACTTACTAAAGGAGCAAGCACTTGCCCAGCATGTACAAGGTCATGGGTTTCATCCCCAGAACCAAGAAAGGAAGATTAAAGAAAAATATTTTAACCAACAATCTTGAAATGTTTCTTTTAAAACAGGACTGTGAAAGCCTACCTAAAATACTTACCATTCTGAATCTCTTGGCATCTTTTAATCCAGATGTCAAAATTTGTATCTGTACCTAGAACAAAGAAAAACAGTATAAAACCCCTAATATGCACAAAGTAGCATATTAATTGAACAAGTATTACTAGCCAGCTACTATTCCCCAAGTAGTCTCATAGCACTGGGACCTGAGCAGCCAATAAAATAGTATTACCTGCCCAAACAGATTCCAGCAACCACACTTTTAATGTAACAACGCATCTACCATTGTCCTGCTCATCCTAGAAAACTATTACATCACGCCAGTTTTAACTACAGCCAACCTTACTAGTTTCTCAGATGCTTATAATACACCTACCTTGCATCTACCATGATCTTAAGGAAACTCTCCCTCACATGGCAAAGCAGACTTGAAGCAGATTCCCAAATCGGTTCTCATCCCTTCATCTTGCTCTACAACACAGGTATCAACTATCCACCTTTTCCTGTGATCTTGTCTATCTTTATACTCTGTGAAACTGTCACATCTCTAAGCTATATGGTATCCGAGAAGATGAATATGCATGGTGAAATGCATATTTACAGGCAGCAAGTTGAACAAATCAACCAATTATTTTTCTCTGAAGATTGAGAATATCTAAAGAGTTACTATGCCTAGTAAAAGGCATTAACTATTAAGTAATTGAAAGTTGATTAATCTGAAAATACAGCTTTTTAAATTGCCTGATTTATAAAATTAATTATCAAAATGTTAGACATAGAGGCACTATTTTCTTCTGGAGAATTATTGTATTAAATGCCCTACTATTCCCCAAACCAATAAAAGCCTCTTACCATACAAGAGGGAAGTATGGAATGTCTCACATCACAGAATTAGAAAACTAGATGCTTTAAATTGCCAAAGAGCAATACGTCTAACTTTTTTTTTTTTTTTTTGGTTTTTCAAGACAGGGTTTCTCTGTGTAGCCCTGGCTGTCCTGGAACTCACTCTGTAGACCAGGCTGGCCTAGAACTCAGAAATCCGCCTGCCTCTGCCTCCCAAGTGCTGGGATTAAAGGCCTGCGCCACCACTGCCAGGCTTCTGACTTCTTAAATGAACAGCTAAAGAATTTATGTGCCCAAGTGTGAGTAAACAAATTTAAGCAGTACTGTTGCCAGGAGACTTATCCTTACTAAGTCATTGCTTCTATGTGCATACTGGGGTTTACGGTGGTTTGAATATGCTTGGCCCAGGGAGTACTATTAGGAGGTGTGGCCTTGTTGAAGTGGGTGTGGTCTTGTTGAAGAAAGTGTGTCACTGGGGGGGTGGGTTTGATTCCCTACTCCCAGTCACATAGGAGCCAGTCTTTTCCTGCCATGCTTGCCTAGAAGCTGCCATGTTCTGAACCTCTGAACCTATAAGCCAGCCCCAATTAAATGTCGATGTTGGGTTTGCTATCCAGTACCATACAAACTCAGTATTCCAGTGTCTGCCAGTAACCTAGCACAAGATCACAAGGTCAAGGCCACCCTCAGCTTCATAATGAGCTAAATATAAGACTGTCTTAAAAAACAGAAAAGTTCTCATTTTCTTCTGTATCTCACAACATTCTCAAAGTTAATAATTTACTTCTCCATAAAAAAAAAAAAAAAAAAACTAGGGCAAAATCTCCTTTTTTAGCAATCTGAATAACTTAAAATAGACATTTAAATTCTTTTTATTTCATTATTTTTATGTGTGCAGGTATCTGCCTGCATGTATGTCTGTACACCTTGTTTGTGCCTGGTGTCCTCCCAGACCAGAAGAGGTTGTGGGATCCCCTGGAACTGGGGCTACATACAATTGTGAGCTACCATGTGGATGCTGGGAATCAAATCTGGGTCTTCTAGAAGAGCAGCCAGAGCTCTTAACCTCTGTGACATCTCTCTAGCCCCTCTAACATAGTTTTGAACATGAAATTGAATTAAATTTTCACATTTCCAGTAGAAGAAAACACAACCACATTCTGAAGAGACAACTCAGTTGATAAAGTGTTTGTTTGCTCTACAAGCAGAAGGACCTCCGTGTGACCCACAGCACTTACGTAAAAAGCCAGATGTACTGGTGTGAGCTAGGAATCCTAGCACTGGGGAGGCAGATATGTAGATACTTGAAGCTTGCTGGCCAGGCAGCCTAGCCTAGTAGAGCAAGCCCAGGTTCCATCTCAAAAACCAAAGACAGTTCCTAAGTAATGCCTCCTGAGGTTAAACCCTGGCTGCCCCAGGCACTCAACAAATATTCCTACACAAGAGCACATGGGGATGGGGGATATATATGGAGACTAATTAGTTGGGAAAACACACTGAATGACTACATATAGTTTTTGGCTTTTTCCTTCCTTCCACTTTCTTCTCTCGGGTGTGTCTGTGTGTCTGTGTGTGTGTGTGTGTGTGTGTGTGTGTGTGTGTGTGTGTGTACCTGTGTGATGGCAGAACACAGATGTGCTTATTTGCAGGTCTGAGTTGGTGTCAGCAATCTTTCTCGGTTGATCCTTCTTCCTGTTTGTTAAGGCAAGATCTCTCTCAATAAAGCACAGAGCTTGCTGATGTGGCTACTCTAGAAGGCAACTTGCTCCAGAAACCCTCTGCCCCAGCCAGCCCAGGCTGGAATTAGAAGCTAGCTACCACCCTAACCTTGTACTCAAAGGTTCTAGGGGTCCAAACTCTTATCCTCACAATGGACAGTAAAAGCTTAAGTGGCTAACCCATTCCCCAGACTCTAATTTTGGTTTCTAATGGGAACGTTTATCTGTAGTTTAGATGCTAAAAAAAGGTCAACTTCATCAAACCTTAAGTGAATTTAAATCCTAAAATCACCACAAAATAATGTTAAAAGAAAGAAAGGGGGTTTGGGGTTTCTGGGACAATGAGAGTCTAACAAAATCTAACTATGGTAGTTAAGATCCAGAAAATGTAACTCTAATACTTACTATCTAATTTCTGTCCTTCTGCAAATGTTTCTAAAGCAGAAGCGTAGTCTTTTTCATGGTATTCACATATCCTGTGTGAGAACATTATAGATAAATATACATACATTAAATCATAGAAAACAGCTTTCTTGCTAATAAAATATTTGACTTTCATATGCTGAAAGAGAATTTATTTCAAGTCTATGCTAATAAACCAGAACTTTTTTTAGATACTGTAACATTTAGTGTAATGGTCACTAATTAAAACTCAAGTTTAATACTCATTTCAGAGGAGTCTGATTTTAACTGTACAAATATATCCATATATCCATTTGTTCTAAGCCAAAACAATTATGCAAAACAATTAGGTTTTCAGTTAAATAAGTCATGCTTATCAGTGATAATAAACAGTGCTTAACAAATACATACAAAATAGACTAAGTTTTTGCTTATTATTAAATGCAGCTAACCGGCTTTGCTGACAGAGATCATCTGTCAGTTCCATCCATACTTTGCAGATAATTCAATCATCCCTACTTTAGAAATCATGCATCTGTCATCTATACTTCAGCTAACATACTAAGATAAGTTAGTATTGTAAGATTACAGCATGCATAAAGAGCTTATAACAAACTTACTCAATAAATCAACACCTACTAGCTATAGTCCAAACTCAACACATACATACCCTTTCCTCAGAATAGCAGTAGAATTATTTGGATTGAGTTCAAGAGACTTCTTTACATCAGCAATACCATCTATATATAAAAAGGTAAGATGGTTTGATCAGATAGTTGCAGAGCCAGCACATACACACAGAATCTGAATCAGGGGCAGCACAGAGGTTCAGCTGTCAAACCTGACAACCTCAATTCCATGCCAGTCTCGCCTGGCAGACTGAGAACAGACTCCCTCAACTTGTCCTCAGCCTTCCATATATGCACTGTGGCACAAAGACACCCATAAAATAAATAATGTAAAACAAATGAATTAGCACTTTATTTTTAACCTTTTAAATTGGTAAAAGGCCAAATGGTTTTAAATTAGGGGAAACTAATCCAAGATAAAATTTAAGTATTACTTTCGTATCTTCCATTTGATCTAATATTTGGCTTCCTTCCTTTTAAAAATTGTATTTTTAAAATTGTGTGTCTGCCAGTCTGTCCACAAAGTGCAGGTCCCAGGGAAGCCAGAAAAGGGCATCAGATCTAGAGGAACTAGACTGACCGGCAGTTACAAGCAGCCTAATGTGAGTGCTGAGACCAGAACTCGGTCCTTTGTAAAGAGCAATAGCCATGCTCTTATTGCTGAGAGGCCTCTTTCCCATCTCCTTTATTCTTAAAGTTCATCTGTCATCAGTAATGAAGCTGTGCCCTCCAGCTTATCTATTCTTCTCGTTAACAATACTTATGTAGTTGGACTCAAAGGCACATTCTTGCCTATCCCATACTTTAAAGTCAAAATCTTAGAAATACATTCATTTTTTATTAAAAACTGCTAACAAAAGGAAAATAGTAAATACAGCCGCTATGAATGCCATCTCTATAAATTCTCTGCCCGCTGTAGAAAAAGCATCCGTAGAAAAGACAACTGTTAAGTCAATGTTACTCAGAATGTTTCTCTCATGAAAAACCATGTTAAAGATTGTCAACGATGGTGATGGAGAGATGACCCAGCCATGGAAGAAGGCCTTCATTTGCAAGCACAAAGACCTAAATGTAGTCCCCAGCACCCATATAAGAACTCCAGATGTGGTCATTTAGAATCCCCGGGGCTCACTGGCCAACAATCTAGCCTGGTGAGCACTGGGCCAGAGACATTCTGTCTTTCCAAGTGATGGACAGCATTCCTGAGTGTACCCAGGCTTATCCTCTGGCTTTCATACATACATATGTATGAAATTGTATATTTATGCAAGCGTGTGCAAAGGCACACACACAGACTCCATTTGGACATTCTGACTTGGGAAAATTTTATAAGTAAACTACAAAATGACAGAACAGTTTGTAAGAAACATTACCACAGTATTTCCCAAGAAGAATGTGACAATAAGCTCTCTGACAGTAACACTGTGCGTCATCTGGATTCTGTTCCAAAGCCTTAGTCAGCTCCTACAAATACAAACGTGGAGTGTCAGTAAATTAGGTTCAAAGCCATCAAACTCTAATTAGAAATTTAACTTCAAATCAAATAATCTATTGGAGAAAAGAATAAGGAAACAAGCATGGAGCTTGTCACTGTAAGAGAACCCTATCTCCTCCTTGCCCCAACCCATAAGCTCAAAATGGACTACTTATGAAAAGCACCCAGCAGTTCTTGGTCTGTTGTAAGAGCTCAATAAATAGTAATTATTATCATCTCATTTATTCCTGAAAGCCCAGCTGAGATACATAGACCAGCTCAGAATTCCTCCTCATACGGAGAAGGCCAAAATACCATGTAGAATTTGAGGTACCTAGAAAATATAAAGCTAGCTGGATGGTGGTGCACGCCTTTAATCCCAGCACTTGGGAGGCAGAGGCAGGTGGATTCCTGAGTTCGAGGCCAGCCTGGTCTACAGAGTGAGTTCCAGGACAGCCAGGACTACACAGAGAAACCCTGTCTCAAAAAAACCAAAAAAAAAGAAAACATCACATGTTAATAAGGCCAATGCCAAGTGCAGATAGAAAGACTGATTCTCTATTCAGTGAACCCATATATGAGTATTTATAAAAGATTTATTTAAATAACCACTTAACCACTGACTTCAATTCAAATGATTCCCAAAACCAATGTATACCAGAAAAATCAAAGCTAGATCTAAACCCAGGATAGGAGATAGCTTAATTTGCAGGGCGCTTGCTTAGCAGGCACAAAGCTTCAACCCTTGCCACCTACAAAAGTGGATGTGGTGGCACATGCCTGTAATCTCAGCACTGAGGGTTCAAGGTCATCCTCTGCTACATAGCAAGTTCCAGACCAGCCTGGGTTACATGAGACCCCTGTTTGTAAACAAAGACTCTCACCAAACACACCTATAATCCACCACTTCAAAAGCACTAAATGTATCTAGTCCAACCAGAAACATCAAAACCCTTTACTGTGTCTCTGCACAAAGCTTTTCAGCTTTGCCAAGCAAAAATCTAGATCCTTCCAAAGGCTCCTGACAGGACTCCCTTACATCTCTATCTAACATTGTGTTACTCTTCCCCCAGCTCATGCCCAACCACAATAAACACCTAATAGTCCCTCAAAATATGTTGCTTCACCTGGCTAGAACAGTGATTCTCAACCTGTGGGTTGTAACCCCTTTGGGGGTCAAACAATCCTTTTACAGAGGTTGCCTAAGACAGTCTGAAAACAGATATTTACACTATGACTCATAACAGTTGCAAAATTACAGTTATAAAGTAGCAACAAAAATAATTTCATGGTGGTTGGGGGGGGGGGGCTGTTAGGTCACCACAACATGAGGAAAAGGGTCTCAGTATGAGGAAGGTTGAGCACCACTGGACCAGAATGCTCAGAAGGCATAGTAAATCCATTTTCTAACTTCCTTAGGGACAAAACTGTGCAAGAGACAAGATTCAAATCCAGGTCTGTAAACCCTCAGAGTAGAACTTACACAAAACAGCAGCAACCCCAGCTCATTTCACTCCAAGCGTCTCTCCACTGCCTGTATTCACATTTTCTAGTATTCCGAAATCTCTAGGTTAAGTAAATCTTCTACTTAATTTTTAAAACAATTTTGAAAATAGCAAATAAATTGAAAATAATGACATATGCCTTTAATTCCAGTTTAGGAGCAGGGGAAGGGTAGGGGCAGGGCAGGGGCAGGGCAGGGGCAGGGCAGGGGCAGGGCAGGGGCAGAGGATCTCTGAGCTTCAGACCAGCCTGGTCTATATAGAATTCCAAGACAGCCAGGGTAACATTGAGAGATCTTATCTCAAAAGAAAAAAAAAAAAAGAAAAATGGAATATTATGACCAAAAAGTTATTACAGATTATACTGATGTCAAGATCATCAAATTCAAAAGAGTATTTTTAGAAACATTGTAACACATAAACCAGATACCAGGTTGAGGGAATTTGTAATTACCTTTTTTTTTTTTTTGCTATGAACGTGGCTCAGTAGGCAGGGTGCTTCCAAAATGGGTGCAAAACCCTTTCTCTTTCTTCCTCTTAAGAATTTTTTTTTTCATATACTTCGATGTTTTTAACCTCCCCACAACTCCTCCCAGACTGTTCCACCTCCCTATCCATCTAACTTTATGGTCTCTAAACAAATAAACCAAACCATGGAGTTCACTTTGTGTTAACTGATTGATTACTCCTGGGTTTGCCCTGGAGTGCAGTTAATATACACAGTGACTACATTGGAGAAAACTGATTTTCCCTTTGTCATCAGCTATAAATTGCCAACAGTTTCTTGCTTAGGAGTAGAACCTCACATCCATTTCCTCTTCTCGGTGCTAGGAGCCCACCTGACTTGAACCCATAAGTCTTGAGCACGATGCTACAATATATGTGACTTGCCCTGCTGTGTCTGGGAGGCACGGTCTCCCTAGAGTCATCCATCACTTCTGGCCTTTCAGCCTCCTTTTTCCTCTATGTCCCCCATCCTGAGCCTTCCGGAAAGGGGTTGGATAAAGACACCCCATGTGCATGCTCCAGTGTCTCTCCCTCTCCGAACATTGTCCAGTTGTGCTCTCTGACAACCCCCCTTTTCAATCCCCAATACCACATAGAACCAGGCATGGTGCTAAATGACTGTAAAAGATTATAATCCCAACACTAGAAAAGAAGGTGGGAGGATCTTTAGTTCAAAATCATCCTTGTGTACATAATGAGTTCAGGTCAACCTGGGCTTCTGTGTCTTAAACTAAATTTAAAAAAGGCTGAAAAAACTAAAAACCAAAAAAAAAAAAAAAAAAAAGCTTCTCCCATGTCTGCAGTCTGTACCCTGGGCTGGCCTCAAACTTGCAGCCTCCTGCTTCACCCCGAGTGCTGAGACTACAGGCATAAGCTACAGACAGCTTATCTATTCCTCTTCCTAAAAAGTCAAGTAAAGGCCAGGCGCACGCCTTTAATCCCAGCACTTGGGAGGCAGAGGCAGGTGGATTTCTGAGTTTGAGGCCAGCCTGGTCTACAGAGTGAGTTCCAGGACAGCCAGGGCTACACAGAGAAACCGTGGGGGGGGGGGGAGGGTCAAGTAAAGGCTTCAGTGTTTCAAGTCCCTTGTAAATGTTCTTTAAAACCACTAATCAGCTATTAGTTAAGAAAACCAAGTTTAGTAATAGCTCAGTCTCATAAAATATGCACAGACTTGGTAAGGCTGTAACAAAAAAGAAGTTTCCAAAACAATAATACAAACAATAAACAATGAGAGCCAAATGTAAAAGAATGACAAATTTACAAATGGATAAAACGTGATTTATAAATAAACAAGTTATAAAAGCCCCAAACAAATCATTAAGATGATTCATAATCTTAACTAGCATGCTTTCAGTGCGCCACTGTTTCTGAAAAGTTGCTACCTACGGAAAAGCATGGTCGTCAATGGAAGCAGTTCAAGAGGGGCAACATCTTTGGTGCCAACACTTGAATTACGGGAGCGAAAGGCTACGAATTAGTGCAGACCTAAGCCAAACATTGTAAACAAGTCCAAAAATACACTTGCAGAAGATGAGCTCTGTGGCTTCCGTGGTAGAGCGCTTGAACAGCATCAATTCCACTGCCACACAGAAAGAGAAACAGGCAAGCAAAACCCACACTGAGAAGCATACCACTAACCAGAACAATGAGGGGGAAATCTAAGACATTAAAACTAAGACTTTACGTGGGTTGGGGCTATAGCTCACTTGGCAGAACCGTGCTTAGCACACATGAAGCCCTGGGTTTGATCCCTGACACAGGCCTGTAATACCAAAATGCATGAGGGTCAGAAGTTCAAAGTCATCCTCAGTTACATGAGAGTTGAGGGTAGCTTGGGATATGTGAATCTCTGCCTCAAGAAACAAACAGACTTTGGCTAGAGCTGTTGGAGGCATAGCGGGAGGCCATGCACTTAGCACGCATGAGGACCTGGATTCAAACCCCAGAAAAGCTTCAAAACATTTTTTTTAATTAATACTAACTCTTAGTAAATTTTCAAATAATTAAAATTCTAACCCATTTAAAAATGCTAATTAAGATTCAAAGAACCTCTGGGGTGTGTGTGTGTATATACCTCAATCTGGTTCCTCTTCTTTGCCCTACAATCACCTAGCTAGGGTCTAAGTAGAAAAACATCAATCCATTTGATTAAGCACGGCTAGAAAGAAAAATATCAGCACTGATTACCGCCACGTGTTTATCAATCTCAAGCTGTGCTCTCACCGAAGAGGCTTCCAAGTCAGCTCCTAGCTGGTGTATCATATAGCCCCAGTCCTCTCCCTGCCAAATGACCTTAATCTCTTGAAACCAGAAACCTGTCCCTTCCAAGCTTCTTTGTTTTGAGCTAGTTAACCTTTTTACTCTGTACTTCAACTCCCTACTGAGTAAAAATGTAGCTAATGACAAGTGTTGCAAGAATCATACGGGAGAGCTTACTCATCCTGAGTCCCAAGTGCTACACTGAGAACACAGTAGTAAAAAATCAAGATTCACAAAACCCCTGCTGTCTTTAGGCTATTTTCAGGCCTAATTTAAGACAGAAAAACTAGTTCCCCTGAGCAGGGTTCATTTCAGGTGAAATCTAAAGAATTAGGCATCCCCAAGTAAAATGAGATATAGGTCAAGTATATTTGGGGCAAAAGAAGCAGACACACCCAAAACACTGTAGCTCCACAGAATGAAAAGAAGTTCCAAGATGTCCAAGCACCAGGCACCCTGCTGGCCATGGTAAGTTGTTTGGACCTTCAGTATGAGGGAAGGTCATGGAAAGTTCTAATAGGAAATGACATGATCCAACTGCCATTCTGGCTACTATATCATAAATATAGTACAACAAAGAAGGACCAGAAACAGTGTCAGTCTCCCGAAGAAATTCCTTTTCCCCAAGTGGCATTTAGACAAAAGCCAACATTCTTCCAAGGGCCTGGAGATAGTTCAGAGAGTTTTCTCCTTCTCTCTGACTCTTCCATGAACATATCTCAGTGGTGCCTATCGGCTCCTCAAGGTCCATGCTAGCCTCCACATTTCCTCATTCCCTACTCACAAGCCCCCTACCCCAGCTCACAGGCTCCCTTCCTCCCAGGGACCTTGTCCCATATAACCCAGGAGATCTCACACATACACTTCCCTTGAGTCTCTCTGCCCTCCACAGAGACAGCCTTGGCAGTTTGAAATAAACTTTTTACTCTTGTACCCACGCTCCACTGGTTTCTTTACCGTGCCCATTTTCATTCAAATAGAAGAAACTAATAAAGTCCAGAAAGTGTGGTAGCCAGAGGTTGTAGAGTGGAAAACATGGAATACAGAAGGGGCAGCATCTGACAATGATCCTAGGGGGTTGGGGGCGGCCTAGATCTGTACCCAGCATTCAGTAAGCTTTCAATAAGTATTCATTCCCTCCTTTCTCAATCCTCCCCCTACTCTCCATTTTGCTTTTATTTCCTTTGGCAGAAAATATTAAAAAAAATTTGCCTCTGTAGCTCCAATCTCAAAGTCACTAAGGCCTTGGTTTTTGTTTTGTTTCTTTCAAGACAGGGCGTCTCAGCCGGGCAGTGGTGGCGCACGCCTTTAATCCCAGCACTTGGGAGGCACAGGCAGGCGGATTTCTGAGTTCGAGGCCAGCCTGGTCTACAGAGTGAGTTCCAGGACAGCCATGGCTACACAGAGAAACCCTGTCTCTGACAGAAAAAAAAAAAAAAGACAGGGCGTCCCTGTGTAATCCTGGCTGCCTTGGAACTCTCATGGTAGACCAGGTGGGCCTCAAACTCAAGAGATCCACCTGCCTCTGTCACCCAAATACTGAGTTAAAGGTGTGCTTCACCACCAGCAGGCTCACTAATTCCTTGCTATCAAACCTGATGCTCATTCTACGGACCTAAGAATACAAAACCTAGCTTGTAACATTCAAGCAACAATGTAGCTATGCTAGTCGGCTAGCCTCTAGAAAGGTGGTTTCTCTAAGGCTGAAAACATAAAAATGTTTCCTTTTTCCAGAGAGCTTCTTTGAGCTCCGAAGTGTCCCACAGTTTCACACATCCAAGGCTAGCCTCAGCTCACTAAGTTGCTGAGGATAACCTTGAATTTCTGATCCTAGTGCATTCACCTCCTGAGGACCAGGATTACAGGCCTGTACCACCATACTTGATGTGTGCTACTACCTCTCTGGAGTCCAGGCAGCGCTCCTAAGAAACATCCATATAAAGTTAGTTTGTTCTAGACTTCACCTGAAATGGCCCAAAGGCAATTCGTATAATATTAAAAATGTAGGCAGGGTTTATTTACTGGTACATGCCAAGCACTCGCAGGATCCAAAGTTTGAGGCCAGCCTAGGTAAAAAACACGTTTTTATAAACAACTGTATAGAGAACAAGCACAGTCTTCTGTAAAGTTGCAGGCACAGAAAGGAAAATGTTCTTTAGTAAACTTAATTAAGGACCTGACATATAAGGGCAAACATAACTTTTAAAGTAAAAAAATGATACATCGAGCCCTATCTTTGCCTTTTCCTTGATCATAAATGCCATTATAAGAGCAATCACCGATAGTTAACTATGCGTCCAAGAAATGAGAGGGAGGTGTCCCCACCAGGAACTTGTAAAGAGGAAGGGCAAAGAGTCTTACTTGGGGACAAAGAAATGGATCTCAGGATCTTAATTTTGGGACTTGGATATATTGAAAATTGTAGCTCTGGCCCCACGAAGGTAATGCTGGGAAGAGGCGGGGTCTGTAGGAACCCAACAGTCCCAGTCGAAAGAAGCGGAAAAGAGCTCACTCACCTCTAACGCCGCCTGGGGGTCTCCGTCGATCAGAGCATCTGAGAAGCTCTGGAAAAACCTGCCAGGAAAACAACGTCTTCAGCAGGGCTCTCTAATCAAGGAAAGAACAGAAAGACAAATAGCAAAGGTGAAGAAAATCACGCACCGCTGGGACGATGCAGGTCCTGCTGCAGCTGCCGCCATCCCTAGGAGTCACGAAAGCTTCTGCCAGAGCGTTTTCTACCTTGGTTACCAGCTCCGCCGCCGCCCAGGAGGGGAAAACTTCTAAAGAAACCCCAACAGAGCTTCCGTCCTCCGTAACCAATCAGCGGTCACGCAGCAAGAGGCCGCGGAAAAGGAGGCGAAGGGTGGGCAGGTAGGCGCGGGGCCGGCTGGGAAAGAGGAGGAAACGCTCTCAGGCCCCGCCCCTACCCGTGACGCGCGCAATGTCCCGCCCCGAGGGCGTGGCCATAAGGCCGGCTCCCCGCCGCATAGCCGTGGGGGCTCCCGCACGGCTTGCAGGCTTTCTAGTACTATCAGAGCCAGCTGTAAGGTACTGGGATCCGTCGAGGGGGTTCTCGCATCGTTAAGGTACGACACGTTAAGCTCCGTTCTCTCCGGTTTTCATCATGGCTACCGCAGGCGGCCAAGTTGTGCGTGACGTCATTCGTAGCTGCCAGGTCTTTTCCGGCAGCAGAGCGGGGCATCAGTTCGCATGACTCTCCGCGGAGAACACGGACGGGCTGGCTCGCCGGAAGTCACGTTACCGGCGTTGGGAATGGAGTTTTCTGGAGTCCCTGCCAGCGCTCCACACCCCAAGCTTCCTTCCTAGTCAGCTTTCCAAACCAAGAAAAGCCTGTTTCGCAGGCACCTCGTGGATGAAAGTGACCAACAACTATTAGTCTTTGTGCTGCCTTGTGTTCTAAGTAACCAGTAAGCTCCCCATCCCCCGCTGTCCATAGAGCCAAACATCACACTGGGAAGTTTCCTGCGAATTCTTTGAGACTGAGTGGTAAGGGCCAACAGGAAGGAGTGGCAGTTGAGAGTCAGCAGAGTAACAGAACTTAAAAATCCACTGCATTAAAACTGCACCCCAAACTTGATTTAAAAGCTGTTGATACGCTCAGAAAGTCGTTTTATCAAATCTATTTTAGCAGATGAAATGAATGAGGTGGTCGATGGTTTCCTCAAACATGATATATCTAAGACCTCAGTCTGGAAACATAACAGTCCACGAAGAAAAAGAGATTGCAGTTCAGGCATTTGCGTACATATTCCCACTGTTGAACTCGCCCACGTTTTCTGAGTTCTAACTCTAAAAAGACCTAACTTTTGTCTTCCCCACTTTTCTAGCACGTCTTCCATACTGGCCAAACTCCTGATTGTGCTTGCTAACTATCGTAGGTATTCTAATTTTTTACACCCACACCTACCACTCACCCCTTGCAGATGCAAAAAAAAAAAAAAAAAAAGGATGGGAGGGCGTTCGAAAATACAGAGAAACTTGAGCCCGTATTCAAGATGGAGAAACGGAAGTTACAAAGATTTAAGTATGTGGGGTCATCAAGAAATGGAAGTGTGGAATACTACAAAGTTTAAAGTGTAGCAAATTTGCGACCTGTAGGTATAGCCTATCTGTATTGAAAATGGGTGGTATGAAGGAGGAAAAGAAGGGCTGATAAAAGATAACAGGAAAGAAAGGAATCTGAATCCACCTGTAGGAATGGAGAAGTAGCTGGCAGAGACACTTGAGGCAGAACAGGGCCAGCTGGCCACTAAAGAGATGCAGGTTTCTGGTTTGAGTAATTGCTGAGAAGATCAAATTAGCCGAACTAAACTGAAGCTAAGCAGATTTGTAAGGGAAGGTAGAGAGTTTCGATTTGGATCTTTCCATTCGAGGTTGTTTTACGTTACTGTGTGCCCGGCAGATACTAAACTGTAAAAGAACAGCTCCATAAAGATGAGGATTGTCTTCTGCATAAATGTCTTTAAAGCAAATGTAAGTTTTGTTCAGTTTGCAGTTCTTTGTATGGCTGGATGTGAATTCCTTCTTGGATGCATTTATTGCAGACACCTTGTGCCAGTTGGCATCTCTTAATATCATCTGAAACAAGTTTTCACGTAGATTAGTTTATAATCATTTCTTTTGTGCCATGTGTAAGACTGCCTATTCAAAGGCTCTTGATACATTTCCTCTAGATCTCTCACTTTCCACATTTAAGTCTGTTATCTATCTACATTGAGAACTTTTTTTGAAAGTACAAGGAATAAAAATTTATTATTTTATCCTCCATACAAATACCAATTAACCCAACCCCGCTTACTGAAAAAAAAAAAAATCTTCATTTCCCCTTAAACTTGATGGCAATTTCACTGCTCTATTCAAAGTTCAAGGCATATTCTTGGAAACAGAATTGCCAGGATTGCCAGCACATTCATTTCCAATTTTCTAGACTCTAAACTAAACTCTAAAGTTTCTGTGCCTAATCAATGACCCAGTCAGTCTTAAGTATTTTTTGTTAAAGTGGCACAAATGAGTTGCCATCTTCCTGTTCAGTGAAAATCTCTACTGACCTAAGTTAAAAGGTTTGGTTTAGGGTCTGGTGAGGCAACTCAGCAGATAATTGTACTTGTTACATACACAAGCCTGGAGAACTGAATTTGCTCCCCAGGACTTAAAGGTGGAAGGAGAGGACCAACTCCACAAAGATGTTCTGTGGCCCTGTCTCCCTCTCTCTCTCCATCTGCGTATGTGTTTGTGTGTCTCTCACACACAATAGCAGGGTTTAGTTTAGATGGACTTTGTGACACACACTTTTAATCTCTAAATCGTGAGTCTGAGGCAGGGATTGCCAAGAGTGCAACGTCAGCTTGGGCTATCTAATGATTCAAAGTCGGACAGAGCTATACATTGAGACCCCCTCTTGGAAAAAAAAGTTTTCTGCAAGTTGTTTATAGTATATTAATATTGTATACCTATAAAATTTCATTAGTAGGCTGGAGAGATGGCTCAGAGGTTAAGAGAACTGGCTGTTCTCCCCGGGAATCCGAGGTTCGATTCCTCCACACCCACATGGCAGCTCTCACACATCTGTAAGTCTAGTCTTAGGCTATTCAACACCTCCGGGCTTCAATAGGCACTTCACAAATGTAGCTCATTAAGGTTTCTACAGCTGTGACAAAACACCATGACCAGAAAGCAAGTAGAGGAGGAAAGTGTTACTAAACCCCACATTGCTGTTCCTCACTGAAGGAAGTCAGGACAGGAACTCAAACAGGGCAGGAACCTGGAGGTAGGAGCTGATGCAGAGGCCGTAGATAGGTGCTGCTTACTAGTTTGCTCCCGTGCCTTGCTCATCCTGACTTCTTCTAAAACCTAGGACCACCTGCCCAGGTGTGGCACTACCCACAGTAGGCTGGGCCCTCCCACATTGATCAAGAATTGAGAAAATGCCCTACAGCTGGATCTCATGAAATCCCTTCCTCAACTGAGGTTCCTTTCTCTGTGATGACTTTAGCTTGTGTCAAATTGACATAAAACCAGCCAGTACATACATTCATACATACACACATACACACACACACAGACAAACAGGTGGTGGTTTGAATGAGAATGGTCCCATAGTCTCAGATTTGAATGCTTGGTCACCAGGGAGTGACACTATTTGAAAAACAAAAATTAGGATTGGGAAGTGAGGCCTTGTTGGAGAAAGGATGTGTATAGGGATGGGTTCTGAAGATTTTAAGGGCCGAAGCCAGGGCCAGTGTCCCTTCACTGCTGCCTTCTAATGTAGATGTAGAACTCTCAGCTACCATGTCTGCCTTTATATTGCCCTTCTCACTACCATGAGGATAATAGGCTAACCCTCTGACAGTGTAAGTGACCCCCAATTAAATGTTTTCTTTTTTAAGAGTTACCATGATCATGGTGTCTCTTCACAGCACTAGAAACTCAAGACACACACACACATCCAATAATGCTTTAAAAGGTTATGTATCAGTCCTGACACATGCCTTAAATCTCAACACCTGGAAGGCAAAAGCAAGTGGATCCTCTGAATTCAAAGCTACCAAGAGGTACACAGTGAGTGAGACCCGGTCTCAACACACATGCACATGCACACACAAATGGGTACGAAAATGTGAAAAATTACTAAGTTACCACTAAGAGAGTAGGGGCATACCATGTTACAGAGATTTTTTTTTCTTGAATTTTTCTTTTTCCAAATTGAGCAATTGACAAGAACGCCTGTTTTAGGGCTGGGGAGATGGCTCAGTGAAAATAATCACTTACTATGTCAGCCCCATGGCCTCCATCCGGATCCCTAGGACTTAGGAAGTGCTGGAAGCAGCAGCACAGGCCTGTAGGATCCTCCTCAGGCCCAGTGATGGTGAGGACTGAGCTGTGCTCTCCTCTCTACTTGCGTTCCTGCATGTGTACCCATAGTGGGAGAAAAGAACCAACTCCCCTCAGGCATGCACTCGGATGTGTACTCAGTATAAGAACCTTGCCAGGTGGGCTGGAGAGATGGCTCAGTGGTTAAGAGCACTGACTGCTCTTTCAAAGGTCCTGAATTCAATTCCCAGCAACTACATGGTAGCTCACAACCATCTGTAATGGGATCCAATGCCCTCTTCTGGTGTGTCTTAACAGCAACATCATATATATAAAATAAATAAAAGTATTAAAAAAAAAAAAAGGAGAAGAAGAACCTTGCCAGGTATACTTGGTTACATGTGCCTGCACTCAAGAGTCTGAGGCAGGACAATCACTAGTTCCAGGACAGCAGTGTGTCTGAGGAGGCCTTGTGTCAAAAAGCAAAAGAATTACAGACAAGAAACAATTGCTTGAAATCAGAAATATTGAGAACTTTTACATGATTTAATAATAACAATTAAAGATACAAAAATGTTTAGAGGATTCCAAAATTTAAATTTTTGTTTAAATACAAATTCATTTTATAATATGAAAACATATAATATTAGACCTCTAAACACAATAATTTTTCTTCTACAAAACTTTCTATACTAGAGAATTTGCAGAAAACAATTTCTTGTGACATTAAATGTACATTATTTACATTGAAAAGTAATCTAAAAACTCTACTTCAGAAACTTGGATATATGATATCTTTGTATGCAACTTCCCTCCCCCTTCACCCACAGTAAAAAAAAAAAATGATCCAAATAAAAAACAATTATGCCTTTATAATAATAACTGACTCAGCTATGCTAGCTCAGGACACTAGTGGCGTCTTTGGCTCTCAGAGCCCTGACTCTCTTAGAATAACAGTCTGTCATTTAACACTCAGCTTTCTAATAAGCCACGATACACAGTGGTCTAAGGA